AGTTGGAGAATAGATTAATGAATAATTGAATGATGGTACTAAAGTAGTTGCTAGAAGAATTGTTGATAGTGATTTTGCATTTACTAGTTGGTAATAAAATGATGAAGGAGTTTTGATTCATTAAATAAGTGAAGCTGAACCAATGAAATATATTGAGGAGGAAGTTTTGTAAGTGAATCCAGAGACAGGGATGATGGAAAGAAAATTAATTAGAAGACCATATAATGATTAAAATTTGAATTTGGGATAAAATATTAATGAAAGTAAAGATGATGGTACAATTGTATTATCAAGAAAATTAGTTGAAAATAATGGGTCATTAGCTTAATGGAGAAGAGAATCAGATGGTAAATTGGTAAAAGTAATTAATCATGAAGAACCAGAACAGTATGTTGAGGAGGAAATTATAACTATTAATCCAAAAACAGGTAAACAAGAAAGAAAATTAATAAGAAGACCATTTACAGAAGATGATAGAAATGCAATTATTGGAGATTAAATAATTGATGAAATTAATAATGGATAGAAAGTTATATCAAGAAGAATAATTTCAAATTTATGTTCAAGTGATGATTGGAAATAAAATGATGATGGACATTTTGAGATTGTTGTTGCTTCATAAGAACCAATAAAATTTATAGAAGAAGAAGTTCTATCATATAATGAATAGACTGGAATGATGGAAAGAAAATTAATTAGAAGAGTATTTTCAGCATCAGCATAATTAGGTAATAATTTATAAGAGACAGATGATAAAGGAAATATTGTTATTTCAAGGAGAGTAGTTGAGAATTTGTTATCTTCAGAATAATAAAAGAAAGATGGATGGAAAGAAAATTAAGGAAATTTGGAATTGTTATTGAATGCATAAGAATCTTTGTAATTAGTTGAAGAATAAGTATTAATTAGAAATTTAGAGACTGGCAAATAAGAATTAGTATTAAGACGTCGTCCATATGTAGAAGGTGAAGAATTAATTAATCCAATTGATGGATTATTATTGTCTAGAAAAATAATAAAAAATAATTAATCATAAGGATAATTATTTAATGAAGGTTGGAGTAAAACAAATGGATAATTAGAGAAGAAGATTCATAATGTAATTAATCCAATATTATCAAATAAATTGATTCCAGATGATCCTACTTCATTATATTATCTTGAAGAAGATCATATTTTGACAAATCCTAATACACAAGAATAAGAAATACATGAACTTAAATTTCCATATTAAGGTAATTAACATTTGAAGATTGGAGAGGGATTAAGAGAAAGAGATGATTCAGGTAATCAAATTATTGCAAGAAAGATAGTCACTAATATAGATCCTGATTATAATCCTTATTAAGATGTAGAGGAAATTACAGAGATAATTGGTAGTGGAAAAGTTAATGAATTTTATGCACTTTAGAAATTGGTTAATATTACTGAGGTTATTATAAGTAAGAATTTAAATGAGAAATAACCAAATGGATTTATCATTAGATCCAGAATTGTTATTAATGAATATCAAAAGACTTAATAATAAGGTTGGAGGAAATTAAGTGAATCGGAGATACCACAAGGAATAAGATAATGGAATTAGAATAAAAGATCAATGTATTAAATTGATGAAGATAGTTAAGAACATAGAGATTCTTAATATAGATCAGTTGATGAATAGAATTAAATTAGAATTTTGGATTAAAAATTAAGTGTTAATGGAAAATATGTAGAGGAAGAGATTTTGATAAAGAATTAACATACTAATAAATATGAGAGAAGACTTTAAAGAAGATATACAAATGAAAATACATTTGGTGATGATATAGATGAATTAATATAAGATATTAAATATCTGGCTAGAATAGAAGTTTAATTTTAATTAGAATTAACAAAGTAAGGATGGATTGAAGTTGGTAATTAAATATTATAAAGAGTTATTGCTAAAAATGAGACACTATAAATGATTGAAGAGGAACTATGTAATAAAGAAAAACATGTATAAATGTTCATTCTAAAACCTTATAAAAATGAATAGATTTAGATAGGTGAGATGGATGAATTATAAGAAAATGGATTACATTTAGTCAAAAGATAAATTGTTAATAATAGATCTTTGGCATATTATAAAAATAATGATTTTATTAAGAATAAAGATGGAACCTATATTAAATAAATTAAAGGTGGTATCACTATGAAGATTCCAAAATATCAAGAATAAAATTTTGTAAGAAGACCTACATAGAGATTGTCTTAAATTTAATAAATTGAATAACACAATAATAATATAATTAAGATAGGAATAACAGAAAATGGATAAGATGAACCTGCAATTGTAAATAGAACTACAAATTCTGATATTTCAGAAACTGATAAGATGTTTCTCAAATAATTAGAAAGAGGATCTAAGAAAGATAGATCAAATATATATTAAAATATTTTGAATGATGAATAATTGAGAGGTAGAATCAACTCAGATAAGAATAATAAGAGTCCTTCTTCACCTTTTAGTGAATGTGCAATACCAAATAAAGGTAAAATATTATCAAAAGTATTGAATAAATTCATTAAAACTTCATTATCTCAAGCAATGAATGAACTTTAATTAATTTATTTAGCTTATAGATAAAAGAAGAGATAAACTTATTAAAGAAATTCTACTAATTTAACAAATATTCTAGCAAATTTATTTTATCGTTAATCTTTTGACACTTTAATTGAGCATATGTAAAAAAATGTTATTGAATTTGATGAAGATGATGTTATTAAATATAATGAAATGTTAGATGAAAATAAAATAATTGCTATGGAAATATAACCAGCAGGTAATGAAGGATAAGCAGCAGAACCAGTTGAATTAAATCTTACACCTCCAGAGAAAAAAAGAATTCTTAAAATTAAACCTAAAGGTTAATAAGAGACAAAAGTATTTGGTAGTAGTTCTTAACATGAAAATGCATAACCTTATTAAAGAAAAAGTGTTGTTCATAATACTATGAAAGTTTAAAATCCCTTTTAGAGATCAGCAGGTAGAGCCTCAACTGTAATTAAACCAAATACTTTCCAAAGTTCTTAAAGTCTTAAACCAGCAACTTAACTTGCGTAATTATTTATTTCATATTAATAGTCGTGGTTCATTATAAAATATTTCAGTTCCATTTGGATTGCAATAACCTAAAACTAATACGAAAAAATAGACTACTAAAATAAAAGAAGCTTAAGAAAAATCAAATTCTTAGAGTAAATAACATAGTTAAACTCCATTATCTTAATCTTATGTATTAATATAATTTAATTTAATTAGGCAACAATAAGTTAAAATTAATCTTAAGCATCCATTTAGAAATAAATGTCATAAGAACAATTAGCTCAAATATAAAAAAATAAAATAGCATCCTAATTTAAAAGAATGGGATCAGTGTAATTATCTGGAGCATTCAAAAAATCATGATATAATTTTATATTAATATATTATTTATCCTTAAATTTTAAATTTCATTATAATAATAATTGATCTTTACTTTTATTTAAAAAAAAATATATTTATTGATTACAGAAAGTATATTAATTCATTTATTATCTATCTTATAAATAAGATTTTCATTTGCTTTTATTAATTCTTCCTACAATTAAGTTGTTTATTTAAGGTTTTCTTTAAGTGAATTAAATCCACTATTGATTTCTTCTAATTAACTTCCTAAAGCTCTGGCTGCAACATATTTACGTGTTGTTAATTTTAATTAAATGGCATATTTTTTCATCTTCTTACTCATATCTGTGAATTCATCTTCAGATAAATCCAGATGTCTAAAAAAATGAATAATAATAAATTAAATACCTTTTTGCATAATGCATACGACCAAATATAGTAATAATCATAGCTGCTTCTTATTACATTTGTTTTTTTAAACTCAAACGATCAATTAGAATAACAACTTTATTTTCTAACGTAGTTAAATATGATTCATTTGTAATTATTACAATCATTGAAGATACAACAAAATTACCCAATATACAAACTACACTCATTACTATACGTCCTAATAATGTTCTTGTATAATAATCACCATATCCTAACTATAATTTAATATATATTAAATACAGTAGTGCTTGTAACTATAACACACCACATTGAATTAGCATAACTACTAAAATCATTACTACTAATATCAATTCTATTTAATGGACTTTCACATATTCTTAAACAATAACCAAATACAAATATAAGTAGTATCATAGCACTATAATTTACAGTAAATGGCTAATTTCTATTCATTGATCTATAATTACCTCATTAAAGATTTGATGGTGAACATATAATCAGCTTAACTGGCATATAAACTACATACTCTATCAGTTCTATTTGAATGCCAATATGAATTCAATAAGGTTGTACGAATAAAAAAGATTACTCGAAATGCTAGAGTCAAACATAGTAATTCATTTGCATAATAATATACCTGCCTATTATAAATACCTTACATCTCCATCAACAAAATCATTAGTAAAATAGAAACTGATATCATCTAAAAAAGGTAAAGGAGATGCAGTAATTATAATTATTTCCATTAATAACTCTACATGCTCCTTTGTAAATCCACTATAGACATCTCCTTTACTCTCTCTCCATTTCAGTTTTACTTGATTCCTAATTACAGCCAATCCCATTAATATTAAATTTGATATGAATATCACCCATAGGATCACCAATCGTGCTTCTGGTAATTCATCATAATGTATTAATTCTAATGTAATCACTGTTAAACCAGTCCCAATAAAATTAAAGACAAAAAAACTCAAATCCATCATCCTAAAACTAAAATGATTAAAACAAAATCAAATACCGTTGATAATATAGATTAGTCACTCTTCCATCTTCCAAAGAATCACCTGAAGAGTCTAAATCAAAAAATGGAGCTTTGTTTTAGATAGGTTCTGTTGGTTAATTTGCTTATGTATTAAGACGCTCTTGATCTGGTTATGTATGCATTTTAATTTAAAATATTAAAAATATCAACTCAGTACATAAATTCTTTATATTCGTTTTCAATATCAAGTATTTTCCATTTATTAATTTATAATGTTCTTTTTTCTTACTTTGATAATTATAATTATTCTTCTTGTGTAGGTTACTTAATTTGTTAATCATAAGATTATTCATAATTGTTGTCTACTAATATTTCTAATTATACTTTTACTAATTAAATTAATCTATAAATAAAGTACATTAATCAGAATGAATTCCCCTTTCTAAACAAATCTTACACACCTTTATATTTTTAATCATATTCAAACATTATTTATGATATATGTGACAACATGACAAAAATGCAAACATAAATTATTCATTTTCTAATTAACAATTAAGACATCTTTAAATTATATGAGTACCTTTTAATTCTTAATAATATAACATTTATAATTTTTCAAAATTCTTATATATTTGATTCCCTATATATTATTCATGTGTAATTAATTAAAAAAAGCATAACTTCTGTAATGATAAAGTTGTACTTCTGAGTTCTTCAATATTTGTAAAAGGTTTGAATAGTTAATTTAAATTATTAATAATCAATTTTGGATGGACTCTCTCAAGCATTTCAATTAAAATCTCTTAAAATACTTTATTAATAGATTTAAACTTATTTATCTATAAACTGAATTGTGAACGTAAATTTAACATTCTATTAACACAAGTGATCCAAAATTTAAAATTATTATCTTAATTAGAAAAATTTTCTCTGCATATTTTTAAACAAGGTAATATTAAAATTAATAATTCTTATGTTAATTCAATTTAAGATTATTCAATCTCTATCTTATTAAAATCTGTACTTATTACCTAAATAATTATTTAATATTATACATCAAAATAAATATCTAAAGCCTCTTAAAAATTTCCACTTCTTTCTTTAAGAAATGCAACTCCTTTCATTATATTATATTCCTTACAAATAATAATACAATCTTCTTATGGAAAATCTCCATATTGTAATTCTTCTAATACTTCTTCTGGATGATGTTTACATAATAACCTTAAATAAGAGATCATAATTTTATTATCAATAATTTGATTTTTATTCCTCTACTCTTTTATTATTTAATTCAACAAATACAATTTAAAATTTGGATGATTATCTAATTAATCTATTGCTTATTAATATAAATCATTTGGAAAATATTATAAAAGTATCTTTAATTTTTCAACACTTATATCTGCCTATAAAAAATTAAAATTTATTTTTACCAATTATGAAACAATAGTTAAACAATATTTTATAATATTGTCTTTCTAATTTATAAATTGATTTGAATTGAGTATCCTATCAATATAATTAAATATAAATTCCTATAATTATATTAATTATATTAAAATACTTTATCAATTTATGATGTTGATGCTAACATAGTACTAATACATTTTATCCAATCTCCTTTTAAACAATATATTTCAGATTGAATTCTTGAACATGAAAGTATTGAACAAGAAGCTTCCGATAATATAGTCTATAAAGATTAATCATCACCTAATAATTTATTAGTAAAAAATGTTATATATTAAATTAATAAATTATCTCTTTTTATTTTATCTTAATCTTTCATATCTTTTTATATTTTATATTCCATCTTTTCGAATTTATAGTTACTTTTCTCTATAAAAAATCTTAAATTCTCATAAGGATATCTTAAATTGTGAATCATAACTTATAAAAAATCATCATAAGATATTTAATAACCTAATTTCATTATTTCCAAAATAAAAGAATTCAATTAATTTACCATATTTAATTTCTTAATTTTCACATCTATTTTTTTGATGATAATCTCACAAATAGTAGTTTCTTCTTGTAAATTATCATTTAATATATTCTCAAATATTTATAGTTTATTATAAATCTTTTTATCTTTCAAAATTAATAAGAGTTCATTTAAAAATATACCAGCATCAATTAATAAAAACCTTTCCAATATTTCACTATTTAAAATCCATAATAAAATATCGCATATTATTTAAGGCCAATAATTATCAGGAATCTTCTCTTAAGAGAATTCTTATCCTTTAAATAATTAACTCATAAACCATATACATTTATAACCTAAACATTATATTTCTTCATCAATTTATTTTTAACTAAGACTTTAAATATCAATTTTTAGTGATTTTAAATAATATTATAATTCTTAATAATTTTTATTTAAACTTTATTAATAAATCTTAAAAATAGTAAATAAAGGTGTTTTATAATCTTCTATTTCTTTAGGTGGTATATATATCAATATACTCTGTAAGTTAGATTTAATACAAAATTCTTTAATAAGATTAGAATTTATAGATTTTTTATCTAAATTGAATATTAATAACTTCATTAATTTCAATTTATCTTCTTTTAACAAATAATCCAATATTTCTTTTAATGTATCTGTTGGAATCTATTTAATGACTCCTTTGTTTATAAATGATTCCAAACTTTAATAAAACTATTTTTCTAATCTATTATTTTTATAGATTTAATATATTTGATTAAATAGAAATTCAAATGATTCAATCATAATTAAAAAATTCATTGCAATATAGATTGAATTAGAATATTGTGATTTTAAACTATTATCAACAAATCTTTAGATTTAATTATGCAAATGAGGTTTTAAATACTCCTATCTTCCAATTCTAGGAAGATTACCTAATTTTATAAGTTTTCCTTAATACAAATACAATCCCATTCCAAATTATTCTTTCCATTCATCATTTAATTAAAATTATTACATCTAATCTTCCCAAGTATTTAATTTATAATAGATAATTCGTTATTTCTATTATTAATCTTCTTTTGATATAAAAAACACAAAATTTTACCAATTACAAATTGAATTTTCAAAATATAATACTTCTCCCATCATTTAACTTTAAATATCTTGATTTAATTATTTCTATATGATTTCTACATTTTATTCAATAATTTCAGAAATTGATATTAAAGAATACATCTTTCTTTCATGTTAAATAAAAATAATATCATTACTAATCCAAATTAAATACTTTATATCTTCATTATTAAAACTGTAATCACATAACAAATTTAAATTACATTTCAATCTATCTTTTTATTTCTCAAATTAAATTGATAAAACTTCTAATTTATTTTCATTACTGACTGCTATTTAAAATGTGTTCTTTTCAGTTTACCATTTTGCTTAAATGAATCTATTCTCTTAAACTTTATAATTTAACTTAATTAATAATTGATATTCTGGTTTTAAATTGATTATTTGTATTTAATCTTTAAATGTCAATAAGATGAATTCTTAATCCTAAAATATTATAGATTCAATTTAATGACATGTAGTATTTTCTTTTAATTCTTATTTTATTTACATTGAATAAGTTAATAGTGTTTATTTAATCCTAATCCCATACACATTCCCTTATGAATCAGTCATTAATAATTATATCTTAAAGTTTTTAGACTTTTAACAAACAGTCATTGTAACAGGAATACCTTCAATTATCAATTCAAATGCCTTTACAAATTAATTTTTAATATATAATAAAACTTGTTTTTCTGATATTCCTATTAATTTTGTACCTTTATCTATAAATCTTAAACAGATTATTGGATTAGGATTAATTTTTTTACTTTGTTCTAACAAAATTATTTGATTATTGAATTAGATATATATATTACCTCTGGCAGTTCCAATGGCTAATATATTTTCAAAACAAGTAATACTAGTTATGAGTAATCCTTTATTTTATTCAAAAAATTCCATTTATTTCTTAGAAATCTATACTTCTTTAAAAATCTCTAAAGTATGTATTTTTTTTTCAAATGATTTCAAAATATCTGTCTAATCTAATTATGATTGTATCTAAAATTATTGTCTTTCTCTTTTTTCAATATTGTCTAAAACATATGGAATTTCTTTTATTTCATAGATTTATGATATATTAGTGTATTTATTTAATATTTTATCTCCTACTTTGAAATCATATAATAATGAATAGTTATCCTTAAGAGACATTTTCTAGTCGATTTAATTTTATTATTAAATTTCTTTTTTTGGTTCTATTACAATTCCTTTATTCTCAATCTAATTTCCTTTGAACAATTAGTCTAACTTATTCATTTCTTGCTTGTCACTAAAATTTGTTGATTTTGGTACTTTTCTTTCCTTAGGAGGATATAAATGTGGATTAGCAATAATTTCATCTAATTTCATAAAATATTATAATCAAATTAATATCAAATTTCAAAAAAAAGGAATAATTATGGAATTAAATGTTTGATCTTGATTTTGTTAGAATATATCTATAATATTCAAATTTTGTTAATCTATAATTATAAAATCTCTACTTTCAACTTATTATAATATTTTACTTAGTTTCCATTACAATAATAATTCTATGTTCTTATTATTAAATAATAATTAATAGAAATTTATTATTATTTACTTCGTCTATTCATCATTTTAAGGTTATTATTATTAAATAATCTAGATATGAAGAGATAATAAGAATGTATAAATAAAATGAAAAATAAATTTGATAATTCTTCATCTATGAGATATTAAATTCTAAATTGAACTTTAAATACTTATTAACTCAAAACTTATATTATTTACATTCCTATTTTATTATTAAATTATGAAAATATTAATTATTACATTATATGAATAATCCTTAATGTCAATCCTGTTTCTAATATATTGCAATTGTAACATGCAAGGAATGCAAATTGTCTATCTGTTTCAAATGTGATGAACGTCTTCATTAAGATAAGAATGATAATCACTATAGAACAACTATTTCATTCCAACCTAGATAAAAATTGTAAAGTGATGAAGATGAGAAACTAATTGAGATGATAAAGTTGAAGAAGAAAGAATTATAAGAATTGAAAGATAAGGAATCTTAATTGACTAAACATTATTAAGATAGAATGATATAAGCCAAGAATAAATATGAATAACAAATTTCAGCTTTAGAAAATAGATGTAATAAACTATTTGATTATTTAGTATAAAAGGCTTAGAAATAAATGAATGAAGTCAGTTTAGAAAATGGCGAACTTGATGTTGATACTTTATAGAATGAATTAGAGAATTTAGAAAAGAGTTTGAAAAGTGAAATAAAATTAGTAGAAGAAGAACAAAGAAAATTAGATGAAAAAACTCAAAAAACTGATGCTTTATTAAATAGAGTTAAAAAGGCTACAGATATTGAATAATAATAAATTATTAAAATGAATGAAGTTGTATAAATATTTAAAGCATGTTCAGAATAATTATAAAAAGAGAAAGTAATTATTATTATCTATTAAAGGATTTGTTAATGCTTGATAATGAAAAACTAATTGCAGAAGTAGAGATCTTTGCTAAATTCTTTGATGAAAATGGGCCTTTGATGGAAGAATTAAATGCATAAAAAAATAATGAATAATAATGAAAATTTATTTTTGTTAATATGAGTAAAGGTGACAAGTCTCAAAATATTTTTTATTATAAAGTTGAAACTCTTGACTATTGGAAACAAACTATAGAAATATTATAATTATCAATTGAATTTGATGTATATATCTTCAATTAATTCATAATTAGTAAAAATACAAATTCATTGCACCTACTTTAATTGAATATGTATTGGCCACTCTTCAATTAATGATTTAAGTTAAAGGTCAATATAGCGAAGATAGTTTCATTATTTAATTCATTTTAAATGTTACTCAACGGAAGTCAAAAGATCTTTTATTTTACAATCATGTTAAGTCCTGCTGAATTAATCAAAGCAAATTCTGATCAATTCTCATTTTGCCTTAAGTTAAGAAAATATATTAAGACCAATTTATCAATGAAAGAGAAACTAAAATTAAACCATTAACCTTTTGTCTAACCTTTAGATTATTTTTAGATTAAAAGGTTACTGTTGTTTCTAAATTAATGTATAATTCTTCAAATAGTTTTATTGGAAATAGAATTAGAGAACAAGCTGATGAATTATCAAATGATAAAATTCTTAAAATAGGTAAATTATTATTATTAAAATCTATATTAGTGTAAGACCTTATGATTTACTCATTTATTGTTATGAATTATAATCTTAAAGACTATAATAATAACCTTAATAAATAATTGCAACATTTTCACCTTAGTAATAAAAAGATGAAGAAATATCATAAAAATAAACAGTTTAAACTATTCAATAATAATAAAAATAATCAAAATAAAATGATCTCTAATCGAAAATGTAAGAAGTTGACTTAATTCATGGAAACCAAGTATCTAACTATAATAAATTAACCATATTTACATAATAGACTTAAGCTAAATTATCTAAAGTTTTAACTCAAGTAATTACTTACTTATTCTACTTTAGATTAAGTAAGGTTAACAATTAGATGAATCTGAAATACAAGATAATGGAATTTATGAATTCTTTTGATATTTTAAATGTGATTATATATATTCTTATATTCTAATTCTTAAAGTTTATTTATATTTATCATACTTAATACATAAATCTAATATTATTTTACTTTTAATATTCTATATCAAAATTATTAATTCATGGAAAATTATTAGAATGATTTCAAAAAAATGATATATGAATATCTATTTTTGAACATACTCTATAAATAAATGGAAGTTAAACCTCAAAAGAATACAATAAAAGAGAAAATTCTTTAGGACTTAGGTGAAAATCCAACAGAGATTGATATAAGATATATAGGCTATGTAACTAATATACCAACATCTTAAATTAAATTGTGGTTAGAGGAATCTCAGAAAAGTGATAGTAAAATTGATATTGGTTCCAAAGAATGTCTTATTGTTGGAAGTAGAAAACCAAAAGGTATTAAGAGTGTTAAGATTAAAATTGAAAATCCATAAAATGATATTAATTATACTCAAAAATAACAAGAAGAGTAGAAATAAATAAATGAATAATAGATTTAAAACAATATCAATAAATAGACCTAGAAGGAATCTAAAATTAATTAAAAGAATCAATAAATCATTAAAAAACATAAGCTAAATTAATAAGTATTAGAATAAGTTCTTAAAGAACCAAACAAAATAGCTCCAATAATTTAATAAGACTAAAATTAGATTAATAAATAAAGAGATAATGAATCTTTATAAACAGATATAAATCAAGAACAAAAGGTATTAAATTAAACTAATCTATAAATAAATTATAATAATGTTACCATCTTAGATGAAGGATAAAAAAAATTACTTAAAACTAATGGTGATTAATAAGGATAAAATAAGAAATTGTTAAAACCTAAATTTTTAATTTAAACAACAATTAAATAAAATAATTAAAAAACAAATGATATACAATTATAAGTTCCTTTGGTAGAATAATCTAATAATATAGAAACCACAAATTAAAATACTCTTTAATAAAACAATTAAGTTCCTATTTTAAATATCAATAATTTATAAAATGAAAAAGATAAAGAATAAGATAAATTTGATAACAAGAATAATAAATTTATAAGTTAGAAAATAAGATAAGAGGATTAATAATAGAATAAGGATATTTCTAAAAATTAATTGGATGATAGTAATGAAATAGCAAAAGATTTAGAACAAAAAATAGCTTATTTTCTTGAATAGGATGATATTAGAAATAATACTAATAATAATAATAATAATAATAATAATAATAATAATGGTATCAAAAAAGATTAAAAGTTAAATCAATCATCTTAGATTGAAAATAATAAAAAAAAACATGAAATCTAATTATAACACAGTAATCGATTAGAATAAGATTTTTAACCTATATCAATAAGTAGTAGTCCTAGTCCAAAAGGTCATTAATAATAGTAATGTTAAAATTAACCCTAATAAAATAATATTTAACAATTTATAAGTTAACCTAACTTTTCAGATAATAAATTAAATAATTCTAAAGTATAAAATAAAGTTTTATAATAATAATAAAATTAAACTTAAAATTCTTTAAGATAATAAAATTTATAATTGAATAAATAAAATGAATTTGAATGTTAATTATCTTAATATTAATATTTAAATCAAGATTCTAGACTTACAGGATAATAATAGCAATATAATTAATAAGATAAACCATATTGTATATAATTACCTATTCTAACTTAAGCATATCAACCAAATTAATAATAATTCTAACAAGCACCAATTATTAATCCAATTTAATCTGTATATAATTAATCATTATTTTAAATGCCTATCTAAACTTAAGAATAAAACTTTTGTTAGTAATATGCTTATACTGATGCAAATGGTTTACAAAAACTATAATAACGTTTGGATATTATATTGTTGTAATAAAATACCCATTAATTGACATTATTATCAAAACTTGATTAGATCATAAATTTAATTTAGAGACAATAAAACAAGAAATGATTTATTATTTATGATTTGAAAAATAGATGTTTATAGATTTTTAAATCAATCTCTTATTCTTTATAAAATAATTTTTATTTATAATTTTAATAAATTTCCTTAAATGAAACTGTAATTTTTTTATTTAAATTTTGTAGGATAATATCATCACAAATTAGATAACTTATGATTACTATCCAATAATTTTGATATTTAAAATTGAATGTAAATAATTTATTTATTAAATTAAATTCTTAATTAATATATGAAAATATAAAAAATGAATATATGTAATAATTAAATATTAGATAAAGTAAATAATAAAATCTAATTAGATTATTATTTTTAAATACAAATCACAATTCAAATCCAAAACCTAAAAACTCAATCTCTAATTCTTATGATGTTTGAGGAAAAGAATACTATTCCTAATCAAAATCAATTTTTCCAAAAGGTGTAGGAGAAAATAAATATTGGTTGCTTTATTCTTCAATCTCACTTATTATTTAAATTGATTATGGATCTTCTTGTATAAATTATGGGAACAGCTATTTGAATAATAATTAAAAAGCATTTTCTATACAATATATTAATTTAAAAATTACGTGACTCTATTTTCATACCTTTTACTAATATACGAATACTTTCAATAAATAATCTACAATTTTTTTCACCTTCTTTTGCTATAGAAAGTTTAGTCTTAAAATAATTAAATAAATTGTTACTTGTAGAAATAGTAAAATACTATTTTTAATTTTAATTTAATATTCAATTGAGGATAAGAGTTTTTACTAAATTTTTACTTATTCAAATTAAAGTGCTTTTATTTAATTATTTAATTCAGATTATTCAACACCAAAAATACTAGTATCTCTTAGAATTTATTTTTAATGTTTCTTTTTAACAATATTCCTCATTAAAACTTTTTATTTTGCAAAACATGGATGATAATATGTTAAAGTGCCATATTGATCTTTACTACTTGTAAATCCATACATATTAAGTTATCTATAAATATGAATTTTATCTATAACCTTAAGAAACTTGAATATTTGGCATGTTTAAAATATTTAGATAGAACTAATTCTTATAATAGTTCCCTATCAAGGATTTGAATTTTCAATCCTTCTTCATCCCATCTTATAATATCATGAAATTCATTTTGCTAATGAAATTTATATCTATTTATACATTTAACATTTCATATGTAACTTCAATGAATTTAATTACTGTCCTTTGTTTATTTTTTCTATGCATTTCTATCGAGTGATATTAATTTTAGGAAAAATTGGAATTCTTAAATACCTAAAAAATATTATATAAAAACAAATTTAATTATGGTATATATCGAAAATAGTTAAATTTGAGAAATATTAAGAAAGGAAAAGGGTAATTAACAGAATCCATCCAATTTGTTTATTTTTACATTATCTATTATAAATCAATTTAAATTTATTATAATAAAAATAAAAATTGAAGACAATATGAATAAATGGATTGTTTTAAAGTTTAAATGATTTGAATTAGAGATACTATAATCTTATTTAGTTCTTAAAATTTATTCAATCTTAAATTCTTAATTATTGATTTTAACAAGCAAAATCTTCTAAATTACGACATGTTTTTTCAATATTAGAAAAGGCTTCATTATGTTTCGAAAATTAAGTGGCTGGATAATAAGAGGATAGATAATTAAATATTTAGAATATTGATATTTAAACCTAAGGTAAAATAGGATTTTTATTGAAATATGACATAGCATTTTCAAGTTATAAGATTTCACTTGAAGGAAATGTAATTTCTAATAATTCTTAAAATGTTAGACCTTAAATATTATTATAAATTATTTACAAAATTGAGGCAACATTCCTTAAACTATTTTTAAGGTTGCATTTAATATAGATTTTGCTTAATTAGATGTCTATATTTTAGTTTCAAATAATAACTAAGTAAATTAATATAATTTTTTACATTTATTAAATATTGAGTTAGACTAGACATTTTATCAACTGATTATAAACATCCATCTATTTATTATTTTAATAATTATTAACTCATCTTAATTTAATTCATTTAGTTTTTCAAAAAAGAAGTTTCAAACTCATTATATGAATTTTATTTTCTTTATTTCTTTTTCATTTATAAGTTTGGATTATACTTAGTAAATTATGTGTTATAGTAGCACGAATTATTTCTTTCAGTACATGTTCTTTAGAATCCATAAAGGTTTAATTGTCTTAAATTACATATTTAAATACCTTAAGAAACTAGAAAACTTTTAATGTCTATAGTATTTTGGTAGTATTTTTTATATAAAAGTAGTTTTATCTAAAATGATAAATTTGTCTCCCAAATCATTCCATCTGATTGTATTTTCATACTCTTGATTCTATATTATTAATTTACTAAACCTCCAGAATTTAATAAAGTAATTTTAAAAATGATGAATGAATAATTCTGTTTTTCTTAATTTTGTTTTCTTACATTAATTAAATAATTTAATAAATTTATTATAATTCTTATTTAAAAATGTTCATCTATAAGATTAAATACCTATTTTTGAGAATCAATAAAATTAAATAATTATTATTTTTGGTTTGAACTTAAAATAGAATCACTAATAAACTTTACGAGTAGATGTTTTCTTGGCTTCTTTTTATAGCAATTCGAATTTATAATCTTCTATATATTCTAGGGCAGCTTTTTGATAACTCCAATTATTCATATCTAAGTAAAATCTAAATTGATATTATATAATACATTGCAACTTTACGACTTTTATCTTCTGGTTAACATACTTAATCTAAGAAGAGTCCAATTTTCAATTCTTACATATACTTCTCAATATCACTATATCAATATTATATATATACATATCTTATTTTTTATAGTCACTTGTAGGATTTGGAATAAGCAATTTTTTCAAATAAAATATATCATTTGTTTATAAGTTATTATAAGTCCGTATTCTACATGCTGGCACTCCATATTATAATTCTAATCCTTCTATTGTATCATCTGGACAAATTATATGAGTAATTTCTTTTTTTCCATCTGGAGTTGGTGTTTCTTATGATTATAAGATAATATTCCTCTAATCATCAAACCAACTTTCATCATATAGATCATAATGATCTTTCAATTCAGTTGGTTTGTATTCTTCTTCTTTTTATTATGGTTTAGATTTAGACATTCCAAATATTCTTGCCAAACAACCAACAGGTTCTTATTGAGATTACTTTAAAGGTTGTTATAAACTTTCTTCATTTACAAGAGGTTAATTTAGATTTTCATTGTTTTTTAGATTCATTTCTTCCATTTCAACTAGACGATGAACTTAGTTTCTTCTATTATAGACTTCATTTGGAATATCACCCACTTTCATTATATATTAAATAAATGATTAATTTAAATGAAGAGGAAAAATAGCAATAAAGCAAACTAATCAATATATTTTTTTAGCATGCCAAATAAGGACTAATAATATTACTTATGAACAATTTAATAAAGGAAGAATATTTCTTTTTATAAATCACACTTTATTTAACAATCATAATGTTAGCTTTTAATTTTATTGCAGCTATATTTTTACTTTGTGTTAAGAGAGATTTTCCTAGATTGGAATATTTTCTTATTTACACATTGAATTTATTTTTATTTTTGACATTGATTGTGTATTCATTAAAATTCTTTATTGAACTTAATGATATAAATAAACAGTTATCCTTATATGTCAAAACTTACATATTGATTTTGTTATAAAAAGTATTTAGTATTAAATAAATGATTAGGAAATAGAAATTTTGACAATAAAAGTATTTCCATATGATATAGCTAATAGATAAGTAAATTGTTTTACATCATTCATATTTGTCTTTTTGATTTTATTAGATGAAGATCCTCTTTAATGTAAACAATAATATTCAGTTTTATTACTTTTTCATTTAATAAATCACACATTCTAATTAATATTTAACACACTTTTTAATCTTCTAATTTTGAATTAAAAAAAATCATAAAAAGAATTAAGAACATTTTCAAAGTAATTTGATATTATTATAATTTTAGTATATTTTTAATTGTATTCTTTGTGATTCATATTACTTTATTTATTTTTACTATTATTAAGACAATTTAATTAAAAGATTAAGATTGTCCATGTTTATAATTTACTATACAATTTTATTATTGTTTTGCTCCAATTAACTTTGGTGCATTTTCATTTGTAATATTATTAGAATATAAATGGTTTAATGGAACACTAATAAATTAAGATACAATTGATAAAAATAGTTAAAATTAAAGTTCATGTATAATAATTTATATATATTTAAGATGCTGCTTCACTATAGAAAAATAATGCAATCCAAAAAGATAGACAATCTGTCAAAAGTATGAGTTCAGTAATTAATAATCCTATGGATAATAGTGAATGTAATTCTTAAGCACCAAATTTTGGAAAGTATATTTGAATTTTATTATTTATTTAGAGATGAAAATAAATAATTATAAAAATTAGGCACTAGCTAATTTGGTGCTTCATAATATAATTAATAAATGGAACATTCTTGGGCAAATGTTTATCATTAAAATCCATTTAATTAATAAGACAGCAATGAAAATAATAACAATTAAAAAAGAGAGAGCAAATCAGTTGATGAGAGTTTAATTAGATAGGAAGAATCTTAAATTCCAGAGAATTTATCTTAATTAAATAATCCTATGGATTCAGATAGTTAAATTCTTAAATGATTTATACAAATATATATATATGACTACAAATGATCATTTTTAGCTTGGAATTTAGAAAAAGTTCCTTGCTTTTTTTACATCACAAAAAAAGATACATTTTGGAAAACTCACATTTTTCTTTTCTTTATTTGGACTTTATTATTTAGATTCATCAAATGTTGGATGACAAAATGAATTTATTTAAAAATCAATCAAATTTGATTAATTTTCAATTTCTAAAGTCTTGCTTAAATATCCCTTTTTATTTCTGAAAGTTGGAGTATCAAGTTATTATTCTATGATTTAGCTTATATCTATAATTAAATTGATACCTATGTTAACTAAATCCTTTTAAAGGTGGAAATGTAGGTTATTTTTTATATCTTTCTTATTTCACTTTAGATGTTAATTTTTATTGTTTTTCATTAACTTGATTTAGCAACTGACTAAATCTTTTATTTTAAGCTGTTCCTAATAACTCTTAGCCTAATTATAGATCTGTTTTAATCCTTATCTCTCTTTGTATTTGATGATTATAAATAACTGAATCCACCGGCTGTACACCTTAAGTTTAAAAAATTATATATACTTTTAATAGAAGCTCTAAATTAATTAACTTTTTGAGCAGATCTTTATTTTATAGATTTTTAAACAATCCTTGTTTCTCTATAATAGTGAAAATTGTTCATAAATAAATATAATAAAATAAGAATCTGATCTTTAATAATAATGTGTCATTAATTATTTTCAAAAAAGTATAAAATATTATTATTCCATTTTTAATAACATTAATTAAAATATAAAAGAATATAAAATGGAAGCAAAATCAACTTACCAAGCGTAATTAAACTCTATGTTGGATTTAACGAATGTATTCATGATAAAACCAATGAATAAAAATGGCCTTGATCTTAAGATAGCAATTGATTATAACCCTTAATATAGCGAGTAAGTTTAAATTAAAATTTCAGAACTCTAGGATGTATGTAAAATATTGTACCAATATTTAACAACGATGGAGATCCTACATAACATGGGTTCATACTACAAATAGATCAAGTATATATATTTTGATATTTTCTAGACTATTCATTTATCAAATAGTACTCATTATAGGAATTAATATGAAAAGAAACTAGCAGAAGTTAAAGAAAAGAATAGAAATCTAGTAAATATTTAAATTCACTTTTAGTTTGTACCTAAACCAAAAGGAACTAAGATCTTCTGTAATGTTTGTAAAGAATACATTGAAGATTATCTTCAAGTAAGTAATTACAATAATTAGCATACTGAATCAAGAAACCACAAATTGAAGTTTAGGAAGAACAAAGTTATCAACCTCATTTCCTCAATGGTTGATGAGTTTTAGAAGACTCAAAGTATACCTCATAATACACTGAATCTTCCTTCCAATTCTGATAATTGTGGTTACTATTAGTCCATCTTAGATGAAAGCACTGAACATTGTGACACAACCTAATAATAAGAACCACAATCTATCAAAAAGATTAAAATGAATGATGGTGTCAGCGCTTACAACAAGTTGGGCAACTCGTAATAATTTTCTATTAATATTTTTAGTCTTGTAAATAGCTCTGAATAATCATTCAACGACAAGTTCGGAAAGTAGTGTCTTTGAAGGAAATATTATGAGCAGCATATATATATATATATAAATATTCAAGCACCAAAATTTTTACAAATTCTTTTATTTCTTATTAGTTTTTATTTTATTTATAGATCATATTTTTATGAGATTAAATCTAATGTCTTAAAATTATTTATTTGTCTATATATATAAAATTATTCATGATATAATATTTTGAATTATCCTTCTAAATAATAAATAACATTTTTATGTTAATAAAAATATAATTTATTATTATTATTATTATTATTATTATTATTATTATTATTATTATTATTATTATTATTATTATTATTATTATTATTATTATTATTATTATTATTATTATTATTATTATTATTATTATTATTATTATTATTATTATTATTATTATTATTATTATTATTATTATTATTATTATTATTATTATTATTATTATTATTATTATTATTATTATTATTATTATTATTATTATTATTATTATTATTATTATTATTATTATTATTATTATTATTATTATTATTATTATTATTATTATTATTATTATTATTATTATTATTATTATTATTATTATTATTATTATTATTATTATTATTATTATTATTATTATTATTATTATTATTATTATTATTATTATTATTATTATTATTATTATTATTATTATTATTATTATTATTATTATTATTATTATTATTATTATTATTATTATTATTATTATTATTATTATTATTATTATTATTATTATTATTATTATTATTATTATTATTATTATTATTATTATTATTATTATTATTATTATTATTATTATTATTATTATTATTATTATTATTATTATTATTATAATCTTCATTAAATTATCAAGAAAAATGATTAAAAACAAAAAGAAATTTAATGGTATTAAATTTATAGAAGTAACCCATAAAATCTTACAAGTAAAATTAAATTTCATTTTTTATAAGTAAAATGAGTATAATGATATTATTAAATGGGATGATCAAGGAATAAACATAATCATTATGGATAAATTTCTTCTTTAATAAATTGTATTACCCAAATACTTTAAGCATTCCAAATATTCAAGTTTTCTAAGGTTATATTCTATTTTATTAATTAGATAGTTAAACTTATATGGATTTACAAGTAGCAAAGATTAAAATGGTTACTTAAATTATCATCACAAAAATTTTGCAAAAGACAATTATGATAAAAATAATATTCAAAAGAAATTATAAATAAAAGATATTCAAAAGTCCTTAGGAATATTTTAATAGGTATAAACTGAACTTTAAAGTTAATTATTGAGTTTATAAATTGAATAAAATAGAATCAAATAAAGTCTTTTAAATTCTATTGATTAATAATTATCAATTAGATGCAATATAAAAGAGTTCTTAGAAGTAAATAATTAAATCATAATTGAATAGGCTATCCGTTTCATTAGATTATAGGGTGAAGATTATTTTGATTAATTTATTAAAGGTATTCAAACTATTTTCTAAGGCTTGAATCCCGCAGCATGTATCAAATTTATATTATATATAGATTATCATTTTTAACATCTAATTAATCTTGTATTTAAATAATTCAATATTGAAGAAGTTCAATCTAATTATTATCAATCCGAAATAGATGAATAGAGCAACTCTTATATGATATCCCCCTGTCCTTTTGGATTATTTGAATTAAGGGCAAATATAAATGCTCATAATGAATTAAATTTCAAAAATCAAGAATTGACATTGGATTCATGATATTTTTATTTAACATATACTATTGTATATTAAATAGAGATTGAAATAAATTATTATCAAAATATCATTCTAAAAATAGAATAATATACTCCCTTAAAGAGGATTAGTAATTGATTGATAAGTTATGTTTAATTATAAAAAAATCATCATTAAAAATATGTATCACTAAAATTATTATCTATTTTTAGTGTTATCAGATATTCATTAATATTCTATTTTTACAAAATGACACATTATTAATTCAATATTTTAGAAGATAAATAATTAAAATTGAATTGATTTTATAATGAATAAAACTCCATTGTTGATAGAAATGGATTAAATAAAAGAAGAAGAAAGTCATAAAGTAAGTGGAGTCAGACAATCAAAATTTTCTATAGTAAGTAGATTATCAGTTCAGGATTTGTAAAGTGCATGGTATTATATATAAGAAACATGGAAAAGTGGTATGTCTTAAGCAGCTCTAAATATGCCATTTGTTTTAGCACTAGGAGCTAATTCAGGAGTTTCAGCTGCAATGGGACTTACAACTGCTTTTATAGCTGCATTTGTTAATGGGTTTTTTAGTGGAAGCAATCATTCAATTTATATGCCATCTTGGACAATCACAGGTTGGAATTATGTTCTAACTCAATAATATGGAATTTAGATATTGCCATTAGCCACTTTAGTATCTGGATTGATGATTTATTTAATTAGTTTGTTTAAGTGGCATTAATTATCAGATTACATTCCTTAATACGTTATAGAAGGATTTTACTTAGGTAGTGGATTCCTTTTTTTAATATTGTATAGTGATTATATCTTTGGTATAACAGATAATCATACAAATGTAGGTTAGAAGTTATATTCAAATTTAATAGAGATGTACATTTCATATTATGAAAGAGGTGATCTTTATAATGTAATTTACACATTTTTAATATTTATGTTCTTATAATTTGGATATAAATTTCATAGACCTTTTCCTTGGGTTTTATTAACAACATCATTTGGTTTATTGATTGGAAATTTATATCCAACAGAGTAATGTTTGAGATATGTTTATGGAAATACTAGACTATAATTTAATTTTATATAAATCAATGAACTTAATTTGGGTTTTGAGTCAATTTTGGAAATAATTCAATTATGTATACCAATAGCAATTTGTGTAACCATTCAAAATTTATTATGTGCAAGAGGTGCTTAATCATTAACTGAAGTTAAGTGTGATTATGATTAAGAAACATTTTGTGTATCATTTGCTAATGTTATTAGCGGTTTAGTTGGTGGTATACCATGTTGTGCATCCAGTAGAATGTACACTCTTAATATCAGATTAAGAGATATCAATAAATGGTCATCAATAATAAATGCTTGTTCAATTTTCATATTTTATGGAATTGCTTCTTAATTTTTTATGAATATACCATTATATGTTATTGCAGGTTAAATTTTATTAGTTGTATATTAATTTCCACCTTGGAATTATTTAATTAAATTGTATTAAACAAAAAGAAGATTAACATTGTTTAAATGTATATTAATATCTTGGATATGTTATAATTATGGAGTTATGTATAGTACAATTATAGGTTGTTTACATTCTTTATTTTTATTTGCTTAAAAAATGAGTGGAGCTGCATCTGAAATTATTGTAAATACAGATCATGATCCTCGTAGATCATCTTATATTGAAAAAGAATAACATTTCGAAGATGATCTACCAAAAGTTGATGGATCATATACTTTATATCGATTTAGTGGTTCAATCAATTATATAAATATTAATGTATAATTTTATTATTATTATTTTTAGAATCATATTAATTAAATTAAATAGCTTGCCTTTACAGATTACATCATATTTAGTTTTAGATATGTCAGTGTATTTGATGAATAGGCTATAGATAAATTAGCTATTATGATTGAAAATCTTATGAGTATATAATTTATATCTTTTCTTAGAATCATAACATGAAATATACTTAACTGGACTCCATAAAACTATGATTGAAGAAATGGAATATAATTCTTTTTTCAAAGAATTCTTTATATTATGTCATGATAAAGTTAAGACTTTGGGTTAATGAATAAAATATTATATAAAAGTTTTAGCTATTTTATTATTATAATTATTTTTATAGCAAATTCTATTAATTAAAGATGGCCTAAAATAAGAATCAACCCCAGAAATAGATTTAATTTGTTTTCAACAGTGAGCAATCTTAAATTATAAATTCTACGTATACTAATTAATCTAAGGATAATAAAAAATACTCTTCCATCCCAATCAATTTTAACTACTAGATTATGATTAGTGATTTTATGTTGCTTTTTGAATATGGGCATTTGAAAGAAAAGTTAAATATATCAGGATATTTTTAATTTGAAAATTTGATCAAAGAATTTATTAGATTTCAATCGAATAAATAAACCATTTTAAACTAATGCCTCATTACAAATTAAGATAATAAAAATTATATAGTTTCCAAGATTGTCCTTACTGATAATTACACATCTTTAAATGAACAATATGATGAATTGCTTCCTAAAATTTAATTGTTTGTAGATCAAGATAGAGGAAAAGAATTGAATTTTGTATTAAAATCTGCTTTTGATATTTAATCAGAGCTAAATAAATATTTAGAAAAATTTTAACAATTAAATAATTAAGAACTAATGACTCATATTCAGAAAAGATTTTTTATGAAATAATATTTAAAATAATAAATGGATTAGTAAGAAAAATATTAAAGCTACTTTAAAGATATTAATGAACGACTAAAAAAATTGAAACCCTATTAATAAAATTAAATCATAGATGTATTAATCGAAGCTGATGCTGAAACATTAGAATAAGTTTATAATTGTATTAAGATTGAAAAAGCTTTGCAATTTCAATTTTTATAAGAATAATAAAATATTATTAGTGATTTAGAATTAAATAATTATTTTCTGACTTCATTGTATATTATTGACTAAATAATATCAGATTAAACTGTTTTTGAAGAGTGCCTAAAATAGGAAAATAAAAATTAATACATTTTAGAAACTTTCAATGATACTTTAAAGGATTTAGAAGGTTATTAAATTTCCTTTTAAGATAACTCTAATTAATAAGATAACAGATTTATAAAGTTTAAAGAGGCATTATTAAATTAATTAAAGAAAAGATTTTGGATTTTTTCAGAAGAAATTACTTAATTTAATGAAGATGTTTAACTAAAAAATGAGATCAATTAATTATTTAATCGTTATTACAAATCTATTTGCCTTAAGCTTCCATTTAACAATTTATTAGAAAAATTGATTCAGATTATTTTAGACAATGATAGTATGGAAGGTATAGTTGAAAGAATTTTAGAATTGAAAATATAAAACATCAACAAATATGTTTTAGATCTTATAGATAAGTATAATTTGGTTGACATTGACAAAAAATTAAGTTATTTATATTAAAAGAAAAAGCATAAGTATTTGAAACAATTAAAAAATCGTCCATTATTTTTTTAATAAGTTGATATTATAATTGATTATTGTAATAAAACCAGCACAATGATTGAAATGGAAAATTCCTAAGCATTAATAGATTTCACAAATTCAAATTAATAATAAATTTTAGAATTTCATCTAAGGCAGACATTATCTAATTATGAAAATCTGTATTCAGATGAATAATTTCTACCTGAACTATTTAAGTAAACAAATAAATTTTGCCCTGATTTAAGTATTGTAAAATCCACATAATATGTTATTTTTCAATAAAAGATTTAATATATGAGACTAAAATAAGAAAAAGGAATTGGAAAGTAACACAAGAAATTAAAAATGAAATTAAAATTTTTAGATTATGAAAAGCTTGATATTGAAAAAGTCATCTAATAACATTAGAATTCTGAATAATCGCCTGCTGTTATATATGAAAATAGAATATGGAATTAATTTCATAATTAAATAATTTCAGAGTGTACAAAATTTTTAGATTAAGAAATTAAAAAAAAAAGAAACTAAGCTTTTGATGAAAAAAAGAAAAAATATAAATCTAATTATGAATAGTATTCTTTGATTCCTTTTGATTGGATTGAAACAATTTTTCGTAATAGTTATGAAGAAATGAAAGAAGAAGAAACAATGAAAAATATTGATAATATTTTTAAGAATTGTGAAAAGGAAGATGAAAATCATTTTAAAGAATTGTAAGAATATGTAGAATTGGAAAATGATATTATAAATACTAGAAATAAATAAATCAAGGAATATTTTAACTCTCTTGGTAAGAAAGATTATGAAACAATTAAAGAGTTAGAAGCAGATTTAAAAAATTAGATTAAATTTAATAGAGAATAACTATTTAAGTAATAATATTTAATCAAAAACTCAATTTAAGAAATATATTAAGAATATATTAAGTAATGCTAAGAGATATTAAAATATCCTCCAACTCATTTATAAAAATACAAAGTTGATAAATAGACATAATTAAATGATTTAAGGGATATCAATAATCAAATTTTGTCATTTTATGGAAAATAATTAATAAATCATTTAGAATAGCAAAAAGAATCATGAAAAATAAATTATAATAATTAATGATTAAATATATTATTCTGTCATTCTGTCTATTTTAAGTACTAAGCAAAACAAAGGATGAATGGAAATCAAGAACAGTTTATTAATTGCTAACTGATAGATTTGCAACTAGTACTGGCAAATCGAGTTCATGTAATTTGAGTAAATATTGTGGAGGAGATTATAAAGGAATAATCAATAATTTGGATTACATCACTAGTAATTATGATATTAATACATTTAGACATGGGATTTGATGCTATATGGATTTCACCTGTAAATGACAATTATGATAATGGATATCATGGATATTGGTATAGAAATATGTATGACGTCAATAAAAATTTTGGAACTTCATAGGATCTAAAAAATTTAGTTACTGCTTGTCATAACAAAGGTGTCTGGGTTATGGTAGATGTTGTTGCTAATCATGTATATAGTAATATTTATATTAGATGGGAAATACAAATTAGGATTATTCATAAAATTATCCATTTAATTCATCATCTCATTATCATGATTATTGTATCATAAGTGATAATGATTTCAACACTCATAATTTAGCTAACATATAGAAATGCAGATTGGCAGGATTAGCTGATTTAAACTAAGACAACACATTTGTAGCAAATGAATTAATCAAATGGATAAAGTGGTTAATAACTGAATATTAATTTGACGGAATTAGAATTGATACTGTAATGATGGTCAAAACTGATTTTTGGACTAAATTTACTAATTCAGCAGGTGTTTATTCTGTTGGAGAAGTTTTTGATGGGGATATGGGTTTTTTAAAGTAATTTTTAGGCCCCATTAATGGACTACTTAATTATCCATTGTTCTACACTTTAAGAGATGTATTCTTACACAATAAAGGAATGAATACTCTAGAATCATATTTCAACAATATTGCAAATTCATTTGGAAAAGCAAATCTTCCTTATATGGGCAATTTTAATGATAATCATGATAATGCTAGATTCTTAAATGATGCTGTTACTGGTTATATTCCTGAAGACTTTGAATTCTATGGAGAGAATTCAAATTTCACTGTAACTGCACTCAAGAAACTCTAATTTAAAGCAATCACTGCATTTACTCTTACCTCAGTTGGTATCCCTATGATATATTATGGATCTGAATAATTTTATGCAGGTGGCAACGATCCAAACAATAGAGAAGTTTTATGGAATCATTTAGATTAGTAAATATATTTTTATATTGAATAGAACATCTGAAATGTATAAGTTTATTAAAGTAATTAATGAAGCTAGAAAAACTACAAAAGCAGCATCTTAAGATTAGATCTAAAGATATGCAGATGCTGATGTCTATGCATTTACTAGAGGGACTTTGTTTGCTGCCTTTTCTAATAAATATGATAAATAAATAGTAAAATCTATTACATATCATCCTTATGCTGAAGGTATTTATTTTTATTTACATTAAAGGAACAAGCCTTTGTAACATCTTTTATGCTACTGATTGTGTAAAAGTGACCAACGGAGCTTTTCCTTTATATTTAAATTATGGTGAAGTTAAGATCTTCATTCCAAAATGATCAAAAAAGATATAAATAAAATAATAATAAAATATATCAAATTTCATCTATTACTTATTTTCTACATAGTGGACAATTTAAATTTAATTTTAGCCAATCCACTATGCAATCAGTATGAAATACATGTTTCTCTGAGCAAGACAATACTATAACTTTTTCTTAGTTTTATAATTTTTACATGCATATGGCACAATCAGTATCTAATTTAATAAATTTATGAATACTTTCCATATGATCTTTGCTCTAATTGTAAAGGATCTCTTTAAGATCCTTCAAAATTTTTTTTTTTTCAAGGCTTTGCTCTTTTCTTCTTTTACAACACTTATAAATTTCATAACATATTAAAACAGGTGAAAATACTATCCACAAAAGTACTAAGACAAAAGTTTTAAAATATTAGTTTAATCCAAATAAAACCACCTAAATTAATTAGATAAGTACTAAAATCATATAAACCATGCATAAAAAATAAAATAATCTATCAACTAAAAATAGGCTATCACTATTGAATAATATTATCACAGCTAATAGTTAAATGAAAAAAAATGCTATCACCAATAGTTTATTTAAAATTTTCAAACATTTAAACTTGTCTTACAATTTTTCCTAATAATTATATATTTTCTAAGTACATAAATTTCTTGACTCAATTTTGATACAAATATATTTCTTTAATCAAAAAGTAAGAGTCTACCAATTAATTATTGATTTTAATAATCATTTTATTCTTCAATTTATTACTATTGTTATTATTAGTCCAATCCTTATTCAATAGAAATAATATTAACTAATCCCATTTTTACAGCTAATTAAAAGATGATGGAGTATTTATTTAAGTATTTTTAAATAACTCTATACTAAACCATTGAAATAAAGCTATGAATAACTAATGTAAAACTAATAATAACCTGTTATATAAAGCCATATGTCGATATATTACAAAGAATATCGAAAATGTTATTGAGATAAATTAATTTCATCTGTAACCAACATAAATTTCGAAATGATCTTAGAATATAGATATTCTTACTAATAGCATTCCAAAAACATATTTGATAATTGAAAGAATCATTTTGATCTGATTTTTTTTAATCAATATACTTCTGCCTTATTCAAATAGAAAATTCGGTATTTACACCTGTGATTAATTTTGTTCTATCAAACTATCACTTAATTGACTTTAATAATTCATTTCTTTATAAATTTATAAAATACATTTTCTAAGAAATTGTAATAACTAGCATTTATAAGATGAAGAGAAACATTATATTATCATTTTGATCAAATCAAAGTATATAAATTATATTAATATATCTTGATTATGTTGTATGCCATCAATATATAATTAAAATATTGGTCTATTGCAATTTTAATAAAATAAAATACTTTTTACTTTATAATTTATATCACAATAAATGTTTATCCATTCCTCTAAAAGTATTTATTCATTCATAAACTCAGTATAGACTTTATTATACATACTGGTATTAAATGCAATCTAGTTTAGATCTTGTATGCTGCCTAAAATTAATTCTTTAAATCAAAAAAAATTTAATTAAATCCAATTTCACATTTTTTTTATTTAAAGAGTTCTTATCATTAAAAATGTACCTTATAATTGGCATGGCTCAATATTATTTACGATAAATACCTTTAATTTTAATTTTTAATCTCAAAACTATGAAATATCATTTTAAATTATATATCAATTCTATATTTAATATCATAATTTTTAAAGTAATATTGAATATATTTTTTTTACTACCTAAATCAATTACTTTTTAATTCAAAAATTATGCTCAATTATACTATAGTGATTAGTTAGGAATTATTTATTATTAGCCATAATTTAATTTATGGAATTTAAAGTATATGTGTATTATATTTGAATAATATTTGAGATAAAATAATATATATATTATAAAAATAAAAATTAAATNAAATAAAGCTATGAATAACTAATGTAAAACTAATAATAACCTGTTATATAAAGCCATATGTCGATATATTACAAAGAATATCGAAAATGTTATTGAGATAAATTAATTTCATCTGTAACCAACATAAATTTCGAAATGATCTTAGAATATAGATATTCTTACTAATAGCATTCCAAAAACATATTTGATAATTGAAAGAATCATTTTGATCTGATTTTTTTTAATCAATATACTTCTGCCTTATTCAAATAGAAAATTCGGTATTTACACCTGTGATTAATTTTGTTCTATCAAACTATCACTTAATTGACTTTAATAATTCATTTCTTTATAAATTTATAAAATACATTTTCTAAGAAATTGTAATAACTAGCATTTATAAGATGAAGAGAAACATTATATTATCATTTTGATCAAATCAAAGTATATAAATTATATTAATATATCTTGATTATGTTGTATGCCATCAATATATAATTAAAATATTGGTCTATTGCAATTTTAATAAAATAAAATACTTTTTACTTTATAATTTATATCACAATAAATGTTTATCCATTCCTCTAAAAGTATTTATTCATTCATAAACTCAGTATAGACTTTATTATACATACTGGTATTAAATGCAATCTAGTTTAGATCTTGTATGCTGCCTAAAATTAATTCTTTAAATCAAAAAAAATTTAATTAAATCCAATTTCACATTTTTTTTATTTAAAGAGTTCTTATCATTAAAAATGTACCTTATAATTGGCATGGCTCAATATTATTTACGATAAATACCTTTAATTTTAATTTTTAATCTCAAAACTATGAAATATCATTTTAAATTATATATCAATTCTATATTTAATATCATAATTTTTAAAGTAATATTGAATATATTTTTTTTACTACCTAAATCAATTACTTTTTAATTCAAAAATTATGCTCAATTATACTATAGTGATTAGTTAGGAATTATTTATTATTAGCCATAATTTAATTTATGGAATTTAAAGTATATGTGTATTATATTTGAATAATATTTGAGATAAAATAATATATATATTATAAAAATAAAAATTAAATCAAAGTTGAATATTCTATAAAAATAAAATTTAATAGAAACTCTAACAAAAATGTCTTTTCTTATTAATTTATATCCTGTAAAGTAATGAATACATATAATAAAATCTTTCATCAGTCTTTTGAAGATTAAAGTCTTATTGATTTAAAAAAAAAGAAAATTGATTTAATAATAACTTAGGAAATAAAAAAGTGAAATCTTAAATCCCAAAAATAACTATGATTCTAAACCAATTTTAAAAGTTACTAAGTAAAATACATGATTGGATTATTTATATACATAAAATTGTATATTAACAATTTAACATTAAAATATGATATTATTTATTGAGGCATTTATTATATTGCTCACTTCTCTTAATCTTATATAGGCAGAGTGGAGACTTATTGACTCAAGTTTTTCTGAGATTTCTATAGTTGATAATAATTGGAAAATGAAGAATAGTTGTTCAAATGGTGCTAATGGAGGTTATTCAGTTATAAGGAGAACCTGTAGTGTAAATCAGTTACAGTATGTCAGATTATAGGATGAATAATAGTATTTATATAAGACCTTTAACTACAAGAGCTTTTAAATTTAAGTAATTTTTGATGTTTTTTTTGATAAAGCTAATAGCAATGAATCCTAATTAAAAGTTTATTATAGATAAGATGGTTCAGAAAATACATATGATCTTTATTCAAGGGAATACGACTAAGATGATGTGATATAAAATAGTGTTTATATTTGTAAAAGTTCTTCAAGCTTATTTGAATTATAAACTGTAGTTAGTACTATTGTAACATAAAACGCCAATAAATTTACTTTAGAGTTTTGTTATAATCCCAATTTTGAAGTTGAGGATGATATTTACGTTAAAGAAATAGGAATAAGAAATCTGTTAGTCTTTGTAAATACTTGTCATCCAAATTGTTTAACTTGTTAGGGTCCCAATTAAACAGACTGTTTAACTTGTTTTGACAGTTAAGATACTTTAGAGGGAAGATGTTACTGTATCTCTGAATAATAGTTTTCAGAAACATTTATAGGTTGTAGGCAAGAATGTAGTAGGGATTTTTCAATAGCTCGAAATGATAAAATTTGTGTTAACGATAATAGAATAGAATCAAAATACTCATTCTTTGATGATAATGATATTCCTCAATCTAATGATTAAAGATACACACCTCTCATTTTTTTAGATGATAAATTTCATCCAAAAAATGCAGATTTAGTATATGAAAGTTGCAATGGAAAAAGTTTTATTGGAAAAATGCATTTTAACGAAGGTATGTTCTATTAAATGAACTTAAAGAATTCAGTTAAATTTTTAAGAATTCGTATCACATTTTATATTTTTAATTTTTAGGAATCAAGCAAAATAGAAATTTTACATAACAATCAATTATAGTCAAGAATAGTTAAAATTTCTTCAGGCTTTTAATTTGATAATTTAATAAAAATATTTTAAAATGAAAAAAATTGTGATGCTAGTTACACTCTTTTAAGAATAGAAATGATTTTTAAACTTTCTAATTCTGATCCCACAATTTTGCTCTAAGGATAACTTTAAAAAGATACAGAATCTTGGGGATTTAGAAATATAACTATTGACACTGGATTTTGTTAATAAAATTGTAAAGTTTGTTCTGATTTTTCTAACTGTGCAGAGTGTGAAACTACATATTATTTATATAAAAACAAATGCGTTTTATCCTGTCCTCCACACTCTTTTAATTGTTTAGATTATGATTAAATAATTCCATGTAAATATTATTCTTTATTTTAGATTCTAGATATATAGCAAAAGGATTTTATGATTTAAATATGACTATCTAAGAAATCAACAATTTTTACGATTCAAGCCCATAACCATTAATAAATTAAGCAACATAATAAAAATTTTCATTCTTAAATAATAAACTAGTATTAGGAGGTTTATTAGTTTGGAATGATGGATCATATATTAAAATCTGGAAAATTTAGTAACCTCATTATGCAGTATCAGTTTATTTTAATTTGACATATGGTGATGGTTATAGTGGTTCATTTTATTATAAAATAGGGTCTACTAGCAGTCCATACATAGGACCTTTTATTAAAGATGGAGGAGGATCAAACATTATTGGTCGATCAGATTTAGAAAGTACTAGTTACTTTAATATTGAATTGACAAATTTTTATAGTAATGATTTATACATAGAATTTAAATGTGAAATTGAAATACCAAACATCACATAAGAATTTTGTGCAATATCTGAGTATTTCATAGTTGCTCATTATGTAATGATTTAGAAATAATTTTAAGTGTGTTCCATTTTGTACTTGTTGTACAAATTTAAACACTTGTTAAATTTGGGAAACAGAACATACAAATTCAAATTGTGAAAACAATTAATATCTTGATTTTGATTAATTAACTGAAATTTATGATTGCAAAAATTGTAATTAGATTGGATGCAGCAAATGTAAAAGTTTAGATGAATGCACTGAATGCGTTAATAATGATTTTTAATTATAAAATGGAATATGTTAATGTCGTCCATTTACTTTTTTTTAGGATAATAATTGTATTAAGTGTAATAAATATTGTGAAAATTGTTATGGAGATTCTTAAGATAATTGTATAACTTGTGTAAATGACTTTCATAGATCAATATAAAGAAATTAATGTATTTGTCAACCCGGATATTATGATGATGGAATTAATTTACCATGTCTTCCAATATGTGGAGATCTAATAATTGTAGATTAAGAAGATTGTGATGATGGTAATTTTAATCCATATGATGGTTGTGATAATTGTAAATTTGCTTGTAATTTTAATTGCGATATTTGCCTAAATGGAAAATGTTATTAATGTAAAACTGAATATGAATTAATTAATAATGATTGTTTATAGATTTGCTAAAATACAAATCTTGTACTTGTTCAATAATGCAATCATAGTTCAGATAATTGCAAAAATTGTTAATATAAATGTTCAGATAATTGTATAATCTGCCACTTTGGAATATGTATTTTATGTGATGAAATTATGGGATGGTACGCATAAGAAGATGGTAAATGCAATACTAAATGTGGAGATGCAAGAGTTGCCACTTTGACAGAATAATGCGATGATGGAAATAACAATCCATATGATGGATGTAATTAATGTTAATTTTCGTGCGGTATGTTTTGTCAAACATGTATAAATTCTTAGTGTTTATAATGTTAGGAAGGTTATTATTTAATATAATCTAATTGTTATCCATAATGTAATGATAAAATTTTAGTATATCCTGAACAATGTGAGAATTAAAATAAATAGGTTCTAAAGGGTTGTTTTAATTGCAAATTTGAATGCCAGTAATCATGCTTAGATTGTTAATTTTGCATCTGCTAAAAATGTAAAGAAGGTTGGTATTTATAATTCGATGGCTCTTGTTAAAATATTTGCGGAGATAAAATACTTGTACCTTTAATTGAAGAATGTGATAATATAAATAATTCTATTCATGTATGCTCTTTATGTTTATAAACATGTGATGTTAATTGTTCAAGCTGTTATTAAGGAAGGTGTAGAGCTTGTGTTTAAGGATATAAATTAGAATAATCAATTTAAAAGTGTATAAGAATTTGTGATGTGGACAGTCTAGTAAATTATGATGAAATTTGTAATATGCTATAAAATGATAGTTGTGGTTTATGTAAATATAATTGTTAAAATTCTTGCACTTAATGTACTATATTTGGATGCATAGAATGCAATTCTATAGGGTGGAAATTAAATAGATAACTACATCATTGTGAACCCATTTGTGGAGATGGTATTCTTATATAAAATTAAGAAGAATGTGATGATTTGTTAGAAACTAATTGTTTCCAATGTAAATATTTTTGTTAAGCCTCTTGTTTAATATGTATCCAAGGCAATTGTTTAAAATGTAAATAAGGATGGTTTTTGGATTTAGATAAAAAATGTTATCCATAAATTGGTGATTTTTTAGTTGTTGGAGATGAATAATGTGATGATAATAATTTTATAATGTATGATGGATGTTATCTATCTTAATATTAGTGTTAATAATCATGTATACATTGTATAATGGGATAATGTAATTTATGTGAAGTTAGATATATTAATTTTGATGGTAAATGTTTAGAAATATATGGTGATTAGTTCATTATTGATGATGATTTCTTTCATTTTCCTTAATATTTTATTTGTTTTTTAGAAAGAAAAATGTTAAAATTAGATAATAAATTAAGTAAACTAGATTATTTTAATAATAAATGTCTTTCCATATGTGGAGATGGATATATATCATATGATGAATAATGTGATGATGGAAATAATGATCCATATGATGGATGTCATTTATGTTTATTTTAATGTGATAATTATTGTAATTCTTGTTTCAAAGGTATTTGTACACAATGTCAATTTGGTTATTATTTAAATAAAATTAAAAATTAATGTTTGAGCTTCTGTGGTGATGGAATTATTGCTCATGATGAATAATGTGATGATGGTTATGCATTGGTTGGTTAAGGATGTTTTAATTGTAAATTATATTGTTAAGAATAATGTACAACATGTATAGATGGATAATGTTTTAATTGCTAATAATTTGGTTGGTAATTAAACTTAATTAGAAGAATCTGTTAACCTATATGTGGAGATGGTATAGTTACTGGAAATGAATAATGTGATGATGGAAATGATTTTGATAATGATGAATGTATTAGTTGCTATTAAAAATGTGAATAATAATGTACAAATTGCTTTTAGGGCTTTTGCTACGAATGTGATATAGAAGGATGGACTCTATATTAAAATTAATGTATTCCTATTTGTGGAGATTAACTAATTATAGGAAACGAATAATGCGATGACGGAAATCTTATACCTTTTGATGGATGTCATGAATGCAAATTTTAGTGTTAGAGTTAATGTATTGATTGCTAATTTGGCATTTGTTATGCATGTCAAACAGAAGGATGGATCCTTGATCAAAACAATCTTTGTTCTATATTTTGTGGAGATGGTATTGTTATGAGATTTTATGAAGAATGCGATGATGGTAATGAAGAGCCATATGATGGATGCTATTAATGTTAGTATTAATGTGAATAATAATGTACATAATGTCATAATGGAATATGTTAAGAATGTGACTAATAGGGATGGACTATTAGTAATAATTTATGTATTCCATAATGTGGAGATGGGTTATTAGTTGGAAATGAATAATGTGATGATATGAATATAATTTAAAATGATGGATGTTATGATTGTAAATTTGAATGTAATCAATATTGTGTTGATTGTATAGAAGGAATTTGTAATGAATGCCAAAAAGGAATGGTTCTTATTGAATCACTTTGTTAATCTTTTTGTGGAGATGGAATTTTAATAAATTAATTTGAATAATGTGATGATGGAAACACTGAAAATAGAGATGGTTGTAATATGAAATGTGAAATTGAAATAGATTGGGTATGCATAAGCATAATACATTCATAATCAATATGTGAATTTGAAAGAAAACCAGATTTTATAATAAATTTATTAACCCCATATTCGTAAGAATTTTAAGATATCTAAATTAAATTTACATAAAAAGTTAAACTCTCATCCAAAGTTTAAAATAATTTAACATAATATATCTAAACAAGAATTATTAATTCTGATAGAAACAAATATAATATCTTAGATATGAAAAGTGCTGATATTAATTAGAATATATCTAAAGATATTGTTTTGTCTTATAGAGTTACTTTTTTTGTATCAATAGAACTACCTATTTTTGAGATCGAATTTTTTAATGATTCAATTATATCAGAACTAAACTAAACACTAATTAATAATAAAAAGAATATTTAATTATAAACTCCTATTGTTTTAACATAGATACAAAAATAAATTGCATAAGTCACATCAACTTTTAACGAAGCAATCATTATTTCACTTGTAATCTTATCTACTATTTGCTTATTAACAGGTTCATCAGATGTCTTTTGGAATTTGATGGACTAATTATAATATTTATCTTATATCAAATACATCAACATAGAATTTCCAAGCAATTTAAACATTTATTTTGAAGTTTTCAATTTGATATCAATTTCTCCTTTGATCTCAGCCCTAGGCTTTGATGTTTTATTTAATGCTATTGATGGACCAACCAATTATTTTGTATCAACTACTAACAAATTTTATAAAGATGATGTTAATGCATATTTTTTTAATAATTTTTCTAGTATCATATTTTGCATTTTCACAACGTATGCCAGCTATTTTAGTATTTAGAGTATTTGTTGGTTATTCTACAAACTAAGTGAAAATTAAGTAATAATATTGGGAATGTATATTAGTAAAAATATATTAAAACTTAGGAAAAAATTAAGAATACAACTTTCCAAATTTTATTACAATGGTCTTTTAAGATTAATTTTATCAATTTAATACGATTTATGTTTTGCATGTGCTTTGTAATTAGCTTATACTCCAAAAGAGGAAAATATCATTCTATTTCTAAATTATAAATTATCTCAAATTCTATTTTTTTTCTAGATTTTAGCTACCTTTTCAATCATAAATATTGCAAATGCATTCTCTAAATGTAATTCATTAAAAAATAGATAAAAATATCAAGCATTATTTGAGGGAATAAGTGAAAATCATAATTTTTGGAAGATGTAATACAATACAATATAAATGATTAAAAAATAAATATTTATTTCTTTAATAGTATTCTTGTAAGAAAATAGTTCAATACAGGCCATCTCAATAGCATTTATGTAAACTATATTTTTCATTTATACCATTTTAATTAAACCATTTGATAATTTTTAAGAATTCATAAAAATAATAATTACAGAATCATTAATAATTTTAAATGTGTTGACATTTTTATTTTATCATTATAAAGTTGAAATGAGTCTAACATCTGACGCAGTTATCTATATAGGATGGTTTAATATTTTTATGTTTTCATTAATATTAATTGTCTCTTTTATTGTTGATATAATACATTAATGTTAAAAATTAATCAGATTTATTAAAGAAAATTTTAAATAAGAAAACAAACCATCATAACCATAATTTTATGTAAATGAATAAAATGTTAGCCTAAATAAAAGAACAATTATTGTATTATGATTTATATTAAATAATAAATTTATTTTTCAAGTTTGAAATACTTATTTTGTTAATTATATATTTTTATATGGATAAAATAAGAAAATTATTTATATAAATATTTTGACAATCAAATTATATTGTTTTTTGATATTAAAATTAATAATATTTTTCTATATAGGATTGTTTTTATAACTCTTATGCTTAAAAACCAATTGAAAAGGAGACAATATTTTTAATTGTAGTTTTTATTATATGGATTTTTTGTGAATATTAAAGAAATTTTAATAATTGAATATATCTTAAAAAATGATAAGAATAAAGTTAATATGTTGAAATTAAAGGATTGGGAGAAGTTAAATGGTAGAAAAATAATTAGATATTGATGAATTATAGTTTATATAGTATAGATTAAAAGTCATTTCAAAAAAGATGATCAAATAGTTTACCCGTTTTTGAGAATAATATATATTGAGAGTCATATATTTTAGATAATAAATATTAATAAATGAAAGTCACTCTTGCTATCTTGTTGTTAGTAAGCATTGCTTCTGCAACATCAACACATGATCAAATAATGGCCTNAGATGTAATACAATACAATATAAATGATTAAAAAATAAATATTTATTTCTTTAATAGTATTCTTGTAAGAAAATAGTTCAATACAGGCCATCTCAATAGCATTTATGTAAACTATATTTTTCATTTATACCATTTTAATTAAACCATTTGATAATTTTTAAGAATTCATAAAAATAATAATTACAGAATCATTAATAATTTTAAATGTGTTGACATTTTTATTTTATCATTATAAAGTTGAAATGAGTCTAACATCTGACGCAGTTATCTATATAGGATGGTTTAATATTTTTATGTTTTCATTAATATTAATTGTCTCTTTTATTGTTGATATAATACATTAATGTTAAAAATTAATCAGATTTATTAAAGAAAATTTTAAATAAGAAAACAAACCATCATAACCATAATTTTATGTAAATGAATAAAATGTTAGCCTAAATAAAAGAACAATTATTGTATTATGATTTATATTAAATAATAAATTTATTTTTCAAGTTTGAAATACTTATTTTGTTAATTATATATTTTTATATGGATAAAATAAGAAAATTATTTATATAAATATTTTGACAATCAAATTATATTGTTTTTTGATATTAAAATTAATAATATTTTTCTATATAGGATTGTTTTTATAACTCTTATGCTTAAAAACCAATTGAAAAGGAGACAATATTTTTAATTGTAGTTTTTATTATATGGATTTTTTGTGAATATTAAAGAAATTTTAATAATTGAATATATCTTAAAAAATGATAAGAATAAAGTTAATATGTTGAAATTAAAGGATTGGGAGAAGTTAAATGGTAGAAAAATAATTAGATATTGATGAATTATAGTTTATATAGTATAGATTAAAAGTCATTTCAAAAAAGATGATCAAATAGTTTACCCGTTTTTGAGAATAATATATATTGAGAGTCATATATTTTAGATAATAAATATTAATAAATGAAAGTCACTCTTGCTATCTTGTTGTTAGTAAGCATTGCTTCTGCAACATCAACACATGATCAAATAATGGCCTTACTATAAACAGGCACAAAAGCAATGGATGCCATTGATACAGTGTTTGGTTTATTGAATGATCTTATTCAATCAAATAAAGATGCTTAATTTGCTGCAGATTAAAAGAATGAAACAGATGAATGGGTTGGTGCACAGTAATTTTAAATTTTAAATATAGAACAATTGAATAATTCACAAAAATCAAATCACTCAATTAAAAGTTGTTCTAATAATCAATTGAAAACAGAGTTCAATTTGAATAAGATTTATAAGACACTAAGAATTATCTTGCTTGGAATGAATAAAGATAAGATGAGATCACAAGAAAAATTGATGTTCTTCTTGATGAATAATGTCTTAGTAACTAATTGTTTGTGAGATCAATAAAACAAAATAGAGAAGCTCTTGAAGTTGTTAGAGTACTTAAGCAAGATGTTGCTGGTTACATTATCAATGGTGATTCATTTGAATTAGTCCAAGAGAAAACCACAAGTGTTGCTGAAAAACTTAAAGCATACAGCAATCTTTTCAATGAATAAGAAATTAAAACATTCTTGAATTTAGCTTAAACATAATAAGAAGAAGGAGTAAGTAGAGGAGCTACATTAGCTGAAAGAGTCCTTGCAGTTCTTGAATCACTTGAAACAAATCTTTAAGCTTCCCTTGAAGCTCTTGAAGTTAATGAAATCAACGCCTCATGGGAATTGGCTGGATGGGTTTCATTGAGTGAAGCAGAAGTTGCAAGTTTGAAAGTTGAATATGAAAGAAAATAAGTTTATGCTGACAGATTAGCAACTGTAATAATTAGATTTTAATATATTAGTAAATCTAAGCCGCCTTAGCTTAATAAGCAAAATCAAAGATCATTTTACAAGAATCCCAAGATGCTCTTGATTAAGCCTAATCAGACTTAGAAAACAAGAGAGCTGATTATGCTGAAGCTAAAGCAAAGAGAGATGAGGAAAATGCTATCTTAGAAGAGGTTATCATTATGTTCAAGAAATAAGTTGCTTCATGGTCTGGAAGATGATGAATATAACTAATAAAGTTATTACAAAAAAACAGCATTTTGGTTTTTAAATAATCTTCTTATTTATTATATAATTTTATTCAAATTAGATGGGAAGAGTTGACATAATTTTAAGAGAGAAGAATTTATTAATTAATAATATTTTAACATTTGTTAATTCACCAATCTTTGAATGGATCATCTTATGGTTTTACAGCATCAGGTAATTCAGTACTATCTGGATAAGTAGCGAAATTGGAAGTATCATAATCAGATCTAATTATTCTATCATTTCATATTACTAAATAACAGGTATATATTAAGGCTTTATTTTTTTATTGATTATATCTTTCCAATTGAGTGTTTCATAAAATTTATGTGATTTTATATCATCTACTCCATTTTTAAGATTCCCAAATCGTTTAGTGACATCTTATTCTAATAAATGTTTAACTAAGCTTTTTGCTTCACTAATTTAGGTCAAGTTGTAAACTTACTTATCAAAATTACGTGGAAACTTAACTTTGCCCTTCAATATTTTCTAATAGATAGCCATTGGATCTTCATCATTAAATGGATCAATTCCTTTGTGAGTTCAACTATAATACAAATACCTGCAAGCATTTCATAAATGAATATTCCTAAACACCACCAATCAACTGGTTTACTATGTCCTTAGATTGAAAATTAGTTTACCCTTGTTTAATAGGATTTCTGGGGCTAAGTATTCAGGTGTTCCACATAATGTATAGGTCCTGTCCTCAACCACTTTAGCAAAACCAAAATCTGTTAACTTTAAATATCCATCTGACTAGACTAACAAATTCTCTGGTTTTAAGTCTCTATACACTATATTCTTTGTGTGAAGATACTCAAACATTAGAACAACTTAAGCTGAGTAGAACCTATTGCTATGAATAAAAAATTACTATGCCTCTTCATTCTAAACAGTCCCAGCATTTCTTAAATATGTAAATAGTTCACCTCCTTATATATATTCTAAAACAAAATATAAGTATCGTTCATCTTAAGTGTATCCACTCATTTCAATCTAGTATATTCAATCATCAAACATACCAAAAATGGATGCTTGATCTATTTCAAAATATTGAACTCACTAATTATATGATCAACTTATTTAAGTCGTAAAATTTCTATTTTCTTTAACATCTTCAAAGCCACATATTTATTACTCGATTTTTGCTTAGCCAATCTCACCCGACCAAATGAACCTGTTCCCAAAGTATTCATTATGTCATATTCCCCTAATTTCACTTTTTTAGTTTCCATATAATTAATATTTTATATTTCCACAATGAATAATATCAATCCAAAACTCAATATAAATAAACCTGAAAATATCTGCATTAAAAAAATATCAGTTAACTTAAAATTAATCTCCAGATGACTATTGATCAATAAGAAAAAATAAAGAATTTATTTTTAAAAGACAATTAATTACTGTGACCTTCAATTTGATGACATTTTAAAAATTCACTCTTTATTTCCATTTCTAAATATTATTTAGTTTCTTTTCATCTTATTCTGAAGAATTTTGGAATTGAAAGATTGAATTATCTTGATTAGAATTAATGCAACATGTATTTAAAGATACTTCATAATCAGTTAATATAATCTTTGAATAACCTTTCAATCTTCCAATATTTTTAGTAGAGTTTAATTAATACAAGAATAAATAAAATTAGAACTATTTGTTATATACAATCTAATCAATATATTAAATTTCAAACATTAGATGTTTAATATTGTTATTTTTGTGACTATGATAATTCTTCTCAAAAAAATCATATCCATTTTTATAAAATTCATTTTGTAATTAATCCAAATATGATAATGAAAAGAAAGTAAACCTAAAAGATTGAATTTGATTAATCGATTGTTAAAAGTTAAAATCTTGAAATTCCAATCAGACCAAACTCAGGCAAATTAGCTCACATAATTAAATCACCTTTACCTCCTAGAAAGGCTACTTTATCTTAACATTAAAATTATAGGAAAAATCAATAAGAACTTCTTTAATCTCAAGACATCAAAGTTATTAAAATTAGAAGCATTACACCAAATCAACAAAAAATATTTCAATATCATGTATAATTCATTATTTTATGAAAAAGAATGCTAGTCCTGCTAAATTGATATAAAAATAACCAATAACTTAATCAGAAAAGAAAATACTTATAATTCCAAAAAGACCAGAAAAATAATTATTTAGAATTACAAAAAAATTAAATTCATCTGCTGAAAGAAATAATTCACCATGCAAAGGAAGAAGCCCAAATTAAGGTTATGATTTATATTGGGTAAATACTGAATAAACTTAAGAAATAGATTAAAAAAAATAGAAAAAAAATAATATCAGAGAATAACATTATAAATAGTAAAAGTAAGAATTTAAAAAAAATATACCAAAATGTGCTTAAGATTTTTCAATGACTTCTCATAAAAATGATCTACCTTAATTATTAAAAAATTATTAATAAGAAATAAAAGAAGTCCGTTAATAATACATGCATGATAACTCACCTCCATTAAATATGAGTGGTATCATATTATATAAATAATAGAAATAATGGAAATCAATGAAGATGGTCTTTCTTCTTTAGCCCAAAGCACCTATCATCATTAGATGCATTGAATGAAAGATAAACTATGCTTTGTTGTTTTTATAATAAATTTTTCATTAAAGATCTCCTTCTTCTTGATCAAATTATAAATTTAATGTTTTTCTTGGTTTACTATTGTCTTCTTCATCAATTACTTGTTTATTGTTCTCTAATTTTGCTTTTTCATATAATTCTTTTTGCTATTCTTCTAACTATCTCAAATGCTCCTCATCTTAAAATCTTGCTTTATTTTAATTTTTCACCTTTAAATAGCATTAAAACTTTACATTAACTTCTTCTTTTATTTCTTCTTCTATTTCTTTTAGATATGGAATTTATCCCTCTAGCCTTAGTTTTTAAATGGACTTATAAAAAAACTCACCTGATATTGTTTTTTTTCCATTTTCTAGACAGATTGTATTAGCTGAATCAGAAACCAATTAGATATATTCCCTAGCCATAGACATGACTTATGTTACAAATTCATTGGAGCATTTCATATCCCCATTGGTTGTAGATTTAATGAATTATTGTACAGTGGCTTAGATCATAAGAACATAATACCTTTTGGGAGTTATTCCATTATATTTTATCTTTTGCATTTTAATTAATCAATATTTTCTTTGAAATAGGATAGATGCAGTGCTTTTTTATAATTAATGATTGGTCATAAAATTACTGAGAAGGATACATCAAGAAAAAGAGTGTAATGAATGAATTGTATTAAGTAAAGCATTAAATATATGTTCTTTAAAATATATTTAAGTAGATATATAAATTTTTATTATTAATCAAGATCTAAAAAATACCATAAATTTAAAGTTTCTGAATTGATTGTTTATTGCACTTTTCTAAATAATAAATAAACTATATTAAATGATAATACTATTATTATTTACTAAATTATTCATTAATTAATACATAATTATATTTATTTAGTAAATAAATTTTATGAGCATCAATCACAAAAAAAAAATATTTGAAAATACTACTCCAAATTAATTTAAAAATACACTTGAGTATGTATAGATTCCAAAGATTCTAGAACATTCATAGATATAATAGAATATGTAATTAAACAGTCAATTAAGAAACTCAAATTAATTAGATATATCAAAATAAGTATTAAATGAACTTCAGAATTTTACACCTAATGATTTAGAGTAGTTTCTAATATTGTTTAGATAACCACAATAAATCAATATGAAATTAGAGAATAGTTAGTTTAATAATTAATCTGGTTAATAATAATAATAATATTATGAATAACTTGAAATAGAAGGGGAAAAATTAAGAATTAAATTAAAGTAAGATGCTCGTATAGTTTAGTCAATTATTGAAAAACATACAAAGATGAAATCTAATAAATAAAGATGTATTGAATAAATGAATCATCTAATAAATCAAATTAAGTAATCTAATAATGTTTCAAGATATTCTGAACTCAATAAATCAATAAAATACAACTTTAATTAACTTGAATCAATTTAATTAGAATTAAGAGATATTTTAATGGATGCATCTACTTTTGAGAAAGTAATGTCAGTTTCAGTATAATAATAATAAAACCATCAATAAAATTATTAAGGAAGTAATTTACTAGATCAAACTATAGGACATTCATCAAATGAAACATCTGAAGCTGAATTCACATCATTATCATTATAAATATATTCGTCAATTGAAATGCATGCAAAAGAATTTGAATAAACTATTTCAGAAAAAAAAAGATTAATGCATATAAGTGAAAATTATCTTTAATATAAGTAAGCTTGTCAAGGTTTGATATAACTAATCTAAAAATATCCTTAATTTGAATAGCAAAAATCTTAGTAAATGTTAAAGTTAGAAAGCATTGCTTCAATTTATTTTTTTGATTTCTAAAAAGAGTTGAATCATTTGATTCTACATTATACTTAAATTACTGAATAGATTCGATTATCTTTATCTATTATTGATAAGATGAGATATTTATTGGAATAGGCAAAGAGTTTGGATTGTATTACTGAATTTTATTCAAATATATAAAGTTAATTAACAGGACAATAATTAATTATGACAACAGGAAAGAATTTAAAATTAGCAAAAGCTTACAAAAAATAATTTAAGATACTTAATATCAGTAATTATCAATATTTTCATTTTATGAGATATAAGATTTATAATAAATGTCTAAAAGAATTTGATTAATTATAATTTGATATAAAAACAGCATAAAATTTACAATTAATTTTAATGAACTAAATTAAAATATTTAAGAATTACATTTCATTGAATTATGTTCAATTATTCAATGATGTATTAGTAAAATTAAAATAAGATTTAAAATAAGAAACTTGGATATATTTAATCAATCTTTATACTGAACTAAATTAAAATAAATAAGATTTATTAATTATTCTCTAATAATTATAAAATTTAAAATATGAAAATCTATCTTTTATAAAATTTAAATCTGTATTTTAATTAATGATAGAAAAAGAATTAGAAAAAATTAAAGAATTATATCCTTAATTAAATTAATATTTAGATATAAAAGACTTTAAGGCATAAAAAGATTTTGAGAAATTTTATACTTAATATATATAATACTATAATGAAATACATCCAAAATAGTTAATCATATTATCTGATATTAATTAATTTTTAGAAAATTCAATTGATCAATAATTAAATGATTAATAACATTAATATTTAAGATCACTTTAAACTTTATAACCTATTATTAGATAATTAAGTAATAAAAAAATTAGTGGAAATTTTAATGCTATAAAAGTCTAATTTGAAGGTTTACTTTAATTTGAAATAGATATTGTTCAATTATAATCATCAATGAAATCTATTTTATAGACAAATTTTAATCATATTTTAGATGATTTTTTAGATATTACAAAAATAAATAATAATAGTTTTTTATCATAATTGATGGATTTCATCTAAAAGAATATTAAAATCATTTCAGAAATCAAGAGTTCCTCACTTTATAATATAAAAGAATAACAACTTCGTTAATTATAATGGATTTGGATATTCTTTGAATAATTTGAAAAATTTAGATATACTTTATAATCCTTATTTAATAACAATCCAAATATCAATTATTAATAATATTTATAATTCTAGACAAAAAATAAGTTTAGCTCCTTATATTATCAATTATCAAAATGCAATAAAAAAATTTGCATTAAATGGTATGATCTCTAATAGGAATTAACTCAAATTTGTCTTAAATCATATGTTACTTATATTACAAAACTTCTTGATAATATAATACTTTTGGAAATGGATATTCCCTTAACTCAAATATCATTTAATGAACAAAATTGTTAATTAATTTTAGAATTTTTAGAAAACCATAATACAAGTTAATTATAAAAATTTATTTGTAAACATTAAATTTACAGAAAGATTAAATAAATTGAATAAAATTAAGTAAATTTTAATCAGATCAAATAATATTTAGAACAATTAGATTTGGGATAAAATAATGAAGATTGTATTGTTGATTTAAGGTATATTTTGATTGAGTGTTCAGATTCATAACAAAAAGATATTGAAATATATTCATATTTATAAGAGGAATGGATTTTAGATCATTTAGAACAAGGGGATACAAGTTTTTTATAAGATTTCATAAATTAGGAAGGTATTTTCAGCTCCAAATTAATGAAATATAATGAAAAACTATAGAGATTAGCAAAATTGTCTATTGAACAAAGTGTAAACTGGAGAAATATAAAAAAAATATTAAAATAAGAATAATGAATTTATATTCTTTTTTTACTAATTAATTATTTAAAAACAATAATTAAAAATCAATGAATTTCTTAAAGTAATTCTTCAAGTAAATGATCAAAAATCATATCTGATAAATCAATTGCAACAACAGTTTATTCTTCATCATAACTTATCCATTTATCTTCATTTTCAATAACCTAGAGATTTAAAATAAATAAATACCTCTGCAGATAGCATTCTAATCATCCTATCTTCTTTTATTTAAGCCAAACATTCTTAATCAAACATTAGAATTTTAGGATATGGGCAATCCTCTTTATCAATCAAAAATCCAACCAAATAATGACACCATTCCAAAACTTTATCTAAACTAGACTTTATTATGTTTGGCATATCATTTATGGTTTTTTTTCGAAATTGTAATCTAGCAGCATCTGATTTCCAAGAATAAGGTTATCCTGCCATTCCATAAGGTCTATGATAATCTAAGGATTCATTCAAAGCATCGAAAATTGCTTTATTATGAATATGTTCCAATTCTAGTAATTAAGATGTTTGGCTTTTCAATATTTATTCATTTAATAAAAATCTCTCAAAAGTTCCAAATAATTCTGCTGTCATAATAATATTTTACTAATAACTTTCATTCTAATTATTATCTTCATCAGATACAATGGTTGAATCAGATAAAGGATGTAAGAATTTCAACATATCTTTTGATGAAGGTCCTAAGGGAATATTAATTTTAGTTAACACTTCATCTTTATAATTACATAGCATAAATTCTGTAAGATGAGATAAATAAATTTTGACTTATGGAATACCTGTTTTAAATCCTTTATTTTAATTTGTTCCATAAGAAGTTTATAATTAAGATGGTGGTCTATTAATTAAGGCTTTTGTAACTAATTCAAAAATATCAATATTGTTTCTACCAAGTTCTTAACATAATAACTAAATTTCCTATACTATCAACATATTTGAAATTAGTATAGAGTATGATTCTGCTTATTTTTCAGACATTTTAGATTAGTCTTTAACAATATCTGAAACTCTTAAGACTTGAGATTAGGCTAATTAATGCAGATTGAATGGTTCTGGTTCATAATCTGCAAATTAGTGATTAGATGGACTTGAGTTATTTTTAAAAATAACCTCATCATCAAAATTTTATGATTTACTTAAATCTTCTTCACTTAATAAAGATGATTTTTATGGTTATTATTGTTAAATTTATTAAAAATTTTAATTTTGAAAATCTATAATACTATTTCTTAATGATTATTCTGAATATAAAACAGATTCTTAACTAAAACTATCAATAATTTTAATGTAAGATTGTGAATTAGATTGAGACATTTATTTCATAAATAGAATATCTCTTTGAGTTTTCATTACTGTCTCATATGTGCTTTATTAACCTTTGATAATCTCATTTTTTTTCTTCTCCAAATCTTTTCTTTATTTTGTTACCCATTTTTCTAGTTTTCTATTTTATTAATCATAAGTCTTAGGAGAAATTTATTATTTTTAATAAGCTTCATTTATTGTTTTAATTTATTATTTATGTCTTTCTTCAAGTACTTTCTCTCTCATTACTATCAATTCATCCATTTTATCTCTTGACATCAACTCTTTGAATTTAACTTAAACGAAATCTTAGAAAGATGTTTATTCAAAGATGCTCTTATCTTAATTAAATGTTTAATCTTCTTAAGATAAACTTTTAATTAGAGATTCAGATCCAATAGCACATCTAATTTCTCCTATTTCAACTTATTATTAATTCTAATATTCCTTTTCAATTTCATCAACATCAATTGATAATCTTTTTTTCTTTTTGAAGGTTATTTATTAATTAACAATTAATGAATTCTTTTCAGTACTTTCTCTACAATTTTCCATTTCTTGTTATTCTGAAATAGCTGATAAGAATTACTTTTTATCTGTAGTTTTCTTTCCTTCACTATCGATAGAATCACTAAAGCCTTCAATATAATCTTAATAGGCATGTGCATCAAAAATTTATTTTTATGGTTTAGATACTTCTTATTTAATACAATTTGTTTTTATTTTCTTATTCATTATTGAAGAATCAGAAGATTTTTCACTTTGATCTTTTTCAATTAATTATATTTATCCTTTTGAATCAACCTTTATATAACCCATCTTTAATAATTCTTAAATTTAACTTTAATGTAAATCATTTAAATTAAATTCTGCTTATTCTTCTTCTTTTTTAAAATAATCCTAATAATAACTTAAGATTTATCTTGTTTTATACTTTCTCCAAACCTTTTAAATTTTAATTGCTGCTTATTCATCTGTTTGAGATATTTATCTTTTTTCACTATATTTACTTGCAGCTTATTCAATTGATCTAATCTCCTCAATTTCTTTAATATCTTATTCATCCCAATCTCTTTATGAACTCAGTAATTCATCTTTATCTTCTCCTAAAGTAATTAGTTTTTAACTATAAAAACTATTATCAAAATTAGCAAAATTTTATTCAGGATCACTCTCATTTGGTATATTTGCACTACTTGAATTACTCATATATTAATATATTGATGAACAAGGCTACCTCATTGATTCATGATTTGATGATTATAATAATTTAGATTTATCTGATTAATTTTTAAATTACAATAAAACTTTTCTCTTTTTCTTTTATTCATATCTATCTGATATTATATTTTCCTTTTAATCTTCATAAATTATTCCATAAGTTGATAAAGTTCTGTTCTTTCTTCTTTATTTTGTATCTTCAACAGAAAGACTTCTATTTCTTGATCTAATATAATCATTGAGATTTTATAAATTTTGATGGATTTTAAATTGTCTCTCATATTCTTTCTTTTTTATTTCTTATTTTGCTATCATTATCATTTTCTATTTGAAATCTTTGTATTTTCTTATTTCTTCTTGGTTGATCTAAAATTTTTATTTATTTAAATCTTTTTTTGTTGGAGTCATTGATTTATTTAATTCTAAATGATATAAACTTAAAGTAATTACTTTTCTTTTTAATAAATTTATCCATCGAAATATTATTTAAAAATGAAACTCCTAATTGGTCTCTTCTTTATTTAATATCCAAATCAGTTTTATTAACTCTTTTCAACATGTTGTCTTAAACATTTCTCTATTTGATTTATTCATTTAAAAAATAATTTTTTAATCTTTCTTAATTGACTCCCCAATTTAATAGAGGAGTTGTATTAACTTTTTTTTATTTTTAAAACTTATTCATACTAGTATTTACACCCTTTTTAGGTTTACTAGTTTTATCAAGCTTTTCTTATGATGCTTTAGTCACAGGCGCACTAAGCTTAGTATTTAACGCCTTCTTCTTTTTTTTCTTTTTAGTTTTAGCTTTTGTTGGACGATTGATCAAATTTCCCAACATTATATCATTTTCTTCTTGCTTGATTATATTCCCATATTAAGGATGTTCTCGAGAGTTTATTACTAAAGGAGTATTAGTAAAAGAGTCTAATTTACGTCCCTTAATAAAACTGTTCTCTTTGATTTGAACACTTATATTTAATTTTGAATTGTCTTAACTTCTCATTTGAAATTTTATTTGTTAAATATCAAATATAATGAGAATTAAAATTAAAGTAAAGAATTCATCTACAAATTAAAAATAAACATTCAATTAATAGAGATATTCATTTAGTGTTATTTTAATAAACCACCCATAAAGTAAAATATATAAAAATTTCTACTTTATAAATCTATAAATATGTAATTATATTGGAACCCTTTGGGGTCATCCGTCAAATTGGAATGTAACAGAGAAGGCCTCTGCGTAAGGATGACACGCATTAAGCGAGATGGTAGCTCATTTTTTTTTTGATTTTTTTATCAATTTTATAATATTTGTTTTATATCTATTTATTGATATATATTGCTGTCAACCTTCAGTTAGAGTTTAGACTGCAGTTTTGGTTGATCCATCCTTAAATTTATATGTCTTAGTTATTTTTGTAATTTTTTATCCATTCTTAACAGTGATTGCAGTTGAAGTACTAACTGAAACACATCCTGGAGGTAATTTTTCTAAAAAAAATCTTATATATTTAAATACCTTCTTCTTCATTTTATGGAGCTTGAGCACCTACATTACCGCCTTTGCCACCTAACATCATATTTTTCATTTAATCTTTCATACTTTAAGGTTAGGATTATTATTGTGCTTTAGGCTTTTAACCTTGAGCTCCCTTTGGAGTGAATTCACCTGCAAAATCAAAAACGCATTAAGTTTAATATTATTTATGGTCTCCTGCTGCAATTCCAACTAAGAAGAAGTCAGGACTAAAACAGTTTTTTCTATGACCTCTTGTTCCTACTCCATCATCAATTAGTAATTAAATGATGACATCTTAACCATTCTTTTGGCCATAACTGATATTTTCTCCTATTTTGCCGTTCCATTCTCCATACCTTTCAATTCTGTCAGATAGAGATGATCCATCAGTACCAGTGTGACCACATACACCTTTTGGACCTGTATCATTAACATGATCAATACAAGCTTACTCTAATCCCTTATCATAAGTTAATGGTTATAAAGGCTATTGTTTTTGTAAAAATGCAATTAATTCTAAATAATTATTCGTTATTTATACCTTGGATAACTTTAGTACCCTCATTTGTTTATAATGGAATCTCCCCAGGTTTATGAAGTACGCTACCTTTGAATAACTTCATCAGTTCTTATAACTTAGGTATGGGGAGGGTTGGATTTTATCTAACTTGATTCAAATAATCAAAAGCATCTTTGACAATTTTGTCATCAGGATCTTTAGATTATGCTTTAGCAGGGGCTCCTTAATCTCTAGATTGCATAGGGGCACTTTAACCTCCTTCCTTTTATGGAGCTCCACCTTATTATTAATTTCCACCATTAGTATCTAATCCAGCATTGTCTTAGAAAGCTCCCGCAAAATCAAAAACACATTAAGTTTTGAATTATTTATGTTCTCCATCGAAAATACCTACTGCTCCAAATTCTGCTTTAAAACAATTTTTTCTATGTCCTCTTGATGATACTCCATCATCAATAATCAATTAGATGATGACTATATTAATAAAATAGATATTAATACCATCTTCTCCAGTTGTTTGACCATAACTAATATTTTCTCCTATTGTTACATCCCATTCACCATATCTTTCAATTCTATCACTCATTGATGATCCATCTGTACCAGTATGGCCTGTAACACCTTTTGGTCCTGTATCTTTTACATGATCTCTTGCTGCACATTCCAAACCCTTACTCCAAGTTAATGGACCTACAGGCTTTTGATTCTATAAGAATGAAATGCATTCTGAAATAAATATAGGATAAAATATTAACCATTGACAACTTTAGGGCCTTCATTAGTTTGTAAAGGAATTTCTCCTGGTTTGTATACAACATTTCCTTTAAACAATTTGAGATGTTCTTATAACTTAGGGATAGCAATCTATGGATTTTATCTGAGTTTATTAAGATATTCGAATGCTTCTTTCGAAATTTTGCTCATTAAATAAATAAATATTTACAACGTGCAAAAATATATGAGTTAAGTTAAATCACATTAAATATACTACTTTAAAAGATTATACAAAAACAAATCAATTCTGTTTAGTTTTCTTCTTTTTTTATTATTCTTCTTTTGTATTTAATTTCTTTATGATCCACATTATACCTACTCCAATAGACAAAAACGCAAGTATTAAGAATAGAATATCTGAAAAGTTGGCTTTTTGTAATTTTGGTTGATAATCATGTAATGTTCTATGTTTCCCTTTTGTCTACTAGGCAGCAATCTTTAAGTACTCTAGATCTAAATCATCATAATCATCATCTCTCTCTCTCTCCTATTATTTTTTTTTATTTGAATCTTCTGCTAATGCAGATTCAAAATCCTATAAATTTTAAACAATTATGATACTTCTATGTATTTCCACACTGTATTCTCCAAATCACTAATTTCTCTTTCCCAAGAACCGTTTCTGAATTAATTGAAATCAATCTCAGAAAACAATACAGGCAATCTTGAATGATCAAACTCCTCTGATCTCACTTATAATAGCACTTAAACACTTTCATCATAGGTGAGCTATTTGGAACATGAAATTGCATGAGTTGTATATAATTTAATCCAAACATTTTATTGTTCAACCTTAGATGCTTAACTAATATTAATAATAAATACTCACTTATCTACAATTTCAACAAGTTCACTTCCATAATTTCCCAAATGCATTCTAGCTAAAATAATACACGTATAATAAATTGTATCTCTTTCTTTCTTTAATTTCTATTCCTACAATTACCTTAGTTGCTCTTCAGGAGAGATCTCTTATATTGTTTCGATGCCATCCTATTGAATAACATCATCTTGACATTTTGCTAAAGCAAAGAGAAAAATAATTGGAATTAACATTAATTAATTAAACGTGTAAAATTAATATCAAAAATCAATTAAAGTTTAATGAATTTATTTATTTATTTCTGCAGCTTTATATTATTCCAAAAATTTAGTATAATCATCATCCTTAATTGGTATTTCATCAATTTATATGAAAAAGTAATCCTCATTCACATCTGGTTACCAATTAGTTAAAATTCTTACAACTTCATCCAAATTACTCATCTAAAATATAATGTTAATTCTTACTTTTAATTCTATTTAAAAATATTTCAAATAACAAATTCCTACTTTAAATAAGTAGATTTCTCCTTCCAATAAGAAATTATCCCATAACCTTGAAAGCATTGGAAATTTAAATTAATGTATAAATATTTTTAAGAACCATTTCATTAAATAAAATTTAGTTTCTAATTTAATAGCTTTAAGATGATTGTATACAAAAGGTAAAATTCTTTTTAAATTCTCTTCAAAAAATTTTATTCTTTATTCAATTTATCTAGTATCATTTTAAAAAACACTTAAGAAATGATATTAATGAAGTAGATTGACCAAGGCTTAAAAACAATCATATTCTTATAAATGTTTGATAAGAACTACTGCAATATCAATTAAATCTGATATATATCCATAATCTGGTCTTTAAAAACTAAAAGCATGCAAAATATTTGATAATTCTTTAGCTTTGACATCAGTAATGAAAGGATATTATTGTTTAGCTCTTTAAATATCTACTCTAATAGCTAAAAATAATGATGATAATTATACCTTCTTCAATAACTATAGTTTTTCTAACAAGTATAGTATATAGTTCTTATCTGATCTTAAGATTATTACCAATAATGATAGGCCATAGAGTTCTCCTTGCAAAATCAGGCAATCCAAGTTTCCATAATATCATTAGTAAAACTGATTTATTTTTCTTTCCTTCTACCATCATTTACTATTAAATATTGCCACCATTATTGATTTCAGATTGATTACTATAATGTTAGTTTTATATTTGTTATCTATTTTAAATAGGATTTAATTAAATAGTTTTTTTAAGACAACGACATAAACTCTCTAAAACACTAGCAGAATTAGCTTGATTTTATGCTTTTTAAACAGCTTCTTCTTTTTTTATACTAATATATTTCTTATAATTTAAAGGTTTATTAGGTTCATAATCCCAATGTGAACGCCAAAAAGGTAAAATATCATTTTTCCATATTTCTGATCTCTTTTCTTCATTCTCTTATCTTCTTTATTTTTCTTCTGCTCTTTTGGCTTCCATCTCTCTACGATTAATAATAACAGCTCTTAAATAATTAATCCATTTTGATTTAATTTACAAATCATTTACTTTTATATCAACTGATCTATGTATTGTAATGATTGAAAAACAAAACATATCAAATTCTGGAGGTATATTATTCTTAATCATAATTCGAGTTGTATTGTGTCCCAAAGCTATATCATGCACATCACACATATTAATATATCTTGCTGGTTCATTATCATTATCTATTGATCTCCAACATATACGCCTTAATTAATTACATATATTAAATACTTTTCATCACTGCTTAAGAAGAACTTCCTTGGTTATCCACCATTGTATCTTCCATATTTAACCAAATTACATCCATTCATTAAATCAAATGCTACTTACAACCATTTAGTTATTTATTCTCCTTATAATTTCTCATTACATAGAATCATACGATTATACATCTATTCTAAATAATCTAATGTGGTTTAAAAGGGTTCTTTCTTTATCGAATCATATACCTCCTCAAAATATTTAGGTGATATATCTGGAAATACTTGAATGTTATTCTTTAAGAATTACTCCTTTGTCATCTTATTTTTTGGTTAGATTTTAGTTGAACCAACATCAGTAGATAACATTATAAATGAGTAAGCTAATACATAGGGTATATCATATGACTTAAATTCATTAGGATTTTATTAATGATAAACTTTTGCAAATATTTTGACTACTCTATCTACCATTTATGCTTCTCCTGCTAATCTAAATCTCTACAATAATAATCTCATAGCATCTAAATAACTTTTCCCTTTTAAATTAAGAAGTTGGCAATAAGCCTCTAATATTTCTTGGTTCTTTAGATCTGGCTTACAAAAAAATTTGTTTATTGCATCCTTATTCAATCCATCTGTATTCATAAGTATTTTAGCAATATCTTAATTATTGTTCTCAATAATATAATTATCAATCAAATATTATAATGCCTAGAAATTTAAATTATATTTATTATTACACTATTCTAATCCTTAGAAAATCTAGTTATAAACTAATCTATATGAACTCTCTATTAAACAGCCTATTCACATATTTTTATTTGTTGTATTAATGGATTATTTCCATTTAAAATTTTATCAATATTATTCTATTATTTTTCTAGTTGTTTCCTAGATTTTTGCTTACTACTTTTTTACCCTGGGGATTCCTCATCAACTATTATTACTTAATCTTCTTCATCATCTAACATCTTTTAGATGTTTTTAATTTATTATAGTATAATATATAACTATTATATTCTAATATTGCAAATTTCTGCATTATGCAATTTAATATTAAATTAACAACAAAATTTGAATTAAATGCCACCAAAGATTAAACCAAAACAAATTAGATAAATGATTCAAAGTACAGCCATTCTACCACCAGGAACTGACAAAGGGTCAGATAAATCATTTGGAGAATTTAGTATTAAAATGAGTAAAGTCTAATGGATTCAAGATTCAAACCCTCATTAAGGAAATTTAGTCTATCGTCTCTGCTTTTGGGGTTAAGAAGGAGATGGATTATTAATATAAGCATTAAATTAAAATTTGAATTACCCTAATGAATTGAAGTATGATATTAGAGTACCAATTATTCAATTTCATAAATATTTGAATGAAGCTGAAAAAGTAATTATTTATCTTGTGGATTCAGAGGATAAATTTTAAATTTTTGGATATATAATCATTAATTTTGCTAGACATTTGAATAAAGACTTATCAAAAAATTAAGTTTTTCATAATATTTCTGGATAATATCCAATATATAAATATTTTCCAGAAATGCCTGATAATAAGGAATATAAAATAGGATATCAAAATATAGAAGTAAATACAAAATTTTTATTAATATAATAACAAATAGAATTATGTTCTTAATTAAATCAATCAAATAACATGTAATAATTATAACAAATCATGATAAAAGAATAATAACAATAATAATAATAATAATAATAATAATAATAATAATAATAATAATAATAATAATAATCTAATAAATAAACTTAATATCCTTAAATTAATGTTATTTTTCCAACTGAAAATGAAGCTTGGTTATAATAAAATCCAGATTAAAAATTAGCAAATGTTTTATTTGCAAATAATCCATTCCAAAAAAATATTGAAATCAATCCAAATAACCTTTATGAAAGAAATAATTATATTGATCCTGAATCTACAATAAATTAATATTAGAATGATTAAAGTAATTCCAATTAAAACTATTAAAATGTCAATAATGATGCTTCAATCTAAAAAATAAGTCCTTCGAAATAAGATTAAAATTTAAGCGGTTAAAAAACATAAGTTTAAGGTAATGTAAAATTCGTTGATGATGTTTCAAATAGAATAGAATAAATATTAAATTCAGTTCATTGCATTAATTGTTGTCCTTAAAAATAGAAACGATCTGATTCTGTATCTAATCAATAAAATCAATAAGATAATAATAATAATAGTAGTAATAAGAAAAGCAATTCCATTTCAAAATAATAAGAACCTTTTAGAAACTCTAAACCAAATAGTGGCCATTATAATAATTCTCCTACTTAATATAGATATGCTAGTAAGCCAGAAAATACTAAACCTAATCCACCTAAATTTAAATCCAATCGAAATTAATCACCTGTTGAAAATGTAGAAAAAAATTAAAATAAATAAAAAGAAATCCTTCCACAATAAGAACCAGTCCAAAAACCCTTATAAGTCAAAACAACTTATCAAATAGAAACTAGAGGAGTTTAAACTATTTAAGAGGAAGTCAATACTCCTATTTAAAACTATACAACTTAAAATTTTGTATATAATAAATCTTTTGATTCTTATAGAAAATTAAAACTACAACTAATTGATTTTCATGCTTATTCTTAATAAGTTTAATAGAAATTGAATGCTATAAATTTGAATAATATTTTTATTGATTGCTAATTTAAGAATTAACAAAAAAGAACATTTTTTAAATCATAAGGATCTGATTTATATTCAATAAATGAGATAGTAGAATTTGAAATATATATTAATGAATCTTCTTTTGATGATTTTTAAGCTGATTAAATTAAATTTTTAATTTAATGTTATAGAAAACCTGAAAATTCTGATGATTAAAAGTATTTTAAAATAACACTTGGTGAAGGATACTTCCAAATAATTAAAGCAATTTAAAATGAAGAATTTTATGTAATAATAAATACAAATTTGCCATTTGACAGAAATAACACTTCACAAAATTCTGGTTTATAATATAGTGTAGTAAATAAAGATTTATTAAATGAATATTAAATTCAATAATAGAATAGACTTGGTGAGATTAGATTAAAAGCATCTTTAATTAAAAATCAGGAGTAATAAGATTTTATAGATAAACCAATCTATTATCATTATCATTCATTTAACCCAACTTTATTGATTAGATTAGGTAAAGTAATAGGAGTAGATAAAATTAATTGCAGATTTAAAATACCTGGTTCAAATGATTTTTTTTAATCATAATTAAATGATTCAATTTATCTTAATTATTAGATTATCACACCTTTAAATTTTGAATCATTTGAAAAGATTGAGACTGCTCCTTTTATTATTGAAGTTTGGAAGGAGAAAGAGTTATTAGGTATGATTAGAATACCATTAAAATCAATTCATGAAATTTTGATTAATGAAGATTAGGAATTCAATGCAAATATATTTAAGAATATCTATCCTTTAATAATATCAGATGAATAACATCCAATTAGAAAGATTAGAGATTCTTAATAAATTGGTTTTATCCATGTTTTAATTGCATTTGGTATTCCAGGATAGATAAACAAAATCAAAATAGAAAATATCTATACAAAAAGCATTTAAGAAGTAGGAAATCAATATGAAGAACCTTAATAGGAAAAGAAAAATGTTGATTAAGAAATTTAAATTGAAGAAATTCCTAGAGAATTAACTTTTTTGGAAAGATATGAATAATTTAATTTTGAATTGTTTGATAATAAACATTAATCAATACTAGATGTCTTTTAATATTTAAATAAAAATGAGAATTAATTGTAAAAAAATATTCCAAAAGGTCAATTTTTTAATATTGAATAGCTATAATTTATTAACTTAAATGATGAATCTATATTTATATTTATAAGAATCTTTGATTTCAAGAATTAGCATTCAATAAAAAAAGAACATATACTAAATAGTTTAACAGCATTTAATATTTTTAAACCTAGAATATCTGTAGAAGTAAATAAATAGATAAAGAAATTTATTTAATATTTAATTGATTAAAAATAGGATCCTCTTGAATATGTAGGTAAAATGTTATTAAAGAGTGATTGTGGGATTATGGAAAGATCAAAATTAGAATAATATGTTCCTGATTTTGATTTTGAATTCTTTGGATATTTTTTGGGACAACCTCATGATAGAAGATTAGTTTCAATAAAATTACTATATGAATTAACATGTTAGTTTGTTTAATTTAATTATGTAAAATTAGAGGAGATTAATGAATTTTGGTATTGTTTATCAATCTAAAGTTCAATATTATAGAAAGCATAAACAATCCAATTAGATGAAGTGACAAAATTAAGTCTAAATATTGAAGAAGTATAAGAAATGTTTAATTAATGTTTAATCAATATATCATTTTGGGAAGTGTATTGTATATTTAGATTTATAAAAATTAAGAACAATAATTTTGTATTATAAGATTGGGAAATTTAGAAATCTCTATTATAAGATTGGTTTTAAATAAAATAATAGGAAGTTAAACCTCCTATTATTTAAAAGAAACCTAAATAATTTGAATTGGAAGATAAGGAAAATTAAAATTAAGAGAATAAGAATCTTGAGTTTTATATTCATAAATTTAGTATCACTTTAAAAGAGATCTAAAATTTGAAATTATCAATTCCTTATGGTACTTAATTATGTGTAGAATATAAATATCCTTTATGTGAATAAATAATAAAATCATATCCTTTAATTTATTCAAAATAAACTTAATATTAATGTCCTTCAGAATCTACTTATACTTATATCTAATAGATTGAACAAAATACTAAATTTATTGATGTAGTTGATTCAATAGAAGGAGGAATCTATTTTAGATTAAAGAATGATGAATAAAGTGTGGCATAAACATTCCTTTCTAGTTAAGAGATAGTCAGTTGGATGGATAGAAATACAGATCTGATTAAAGATAAAGTGTTAGTATTTATGCCTATAAATGCTAAACTTAGTTTCAATATCAATTATTAGAGATAAAAGATAACTTAATAATAACTTTCATCTAATCCAGAATTATTATCTAGTCATAATCAAACTCATCAAGAAATTCATTTACCTAAAAGAGTAGGATTAAATATATATGCTGAAGTAACTTTAAATGATAAGGCACTTAAATTTGAAGATAAAATTATCAAGGTGGATATATATTCAGTTGTCAATTTTACTGCTTAAATGTAATTATCTTTATTATTAATTATAGATCTAAATAATAAGGTTAAAAGACAATTATTATAAATGAAGAAAAGTAATTATAAGTTGATAATGAATTGATTTAAACATTATCAGCATAATAAATGATAATTTAAGTGTCAAGTAATACTTAAAATCTTATTGGAAAATGTGAACTAATGTAAACTCAATTACTTAGAGGATAAATAGAAGGTGAATTTGCTTTAACAAACTCATTTGGTTTATTTGTTGGAGTTGCTAAATTGAAATGCTAATTAAATAAATATAAAATACCTTTGGTTTAATAATAAGCAATATTGAAAGAAAAAGAATAGGAAGAAAAATAAAAATAGATTACTTGTATGATATCAATTAGAGAGATCATCATAAATATTTCTTAATTGTTAAAACCAGCAGGCAATGACACTATTTTTTTATACTTTGTTTTAAAACTAAATGGAAAAACACTTCAAACAAATCCTGAACAGATTGATAAAAAGAGTAATATTTATTTATATTATAGAATTATCATGTTAATTAGTTTAATCATTTTTAGCAGTAGAAATACAATCTTATTAAGAATTAACAATAACTGTTTATTCTAGTAAGAAAAATGCTGCTAATTAATTGAAAGATGTTAAATTAGGAGATTTAAATATAAAATTTAATCATTTAACTTAAAGTTAAATTGATAGTAAATTTATATGTATTAATGAATATTTCACTTTAAATTATGATTCATTTATAAGTAGAATTGGTATTAAACTTATGCTTATAAATGAATATGAGGATATGATTCCAAATTTTATAAAGTTTTATTCCTAAAATTAAATTTATGGTTGTTAGAAATTAAATGATTTGCAATAAAATTATAAGATTGATAGATAACTATATGAATACATTTCTAAATTAGTTAATAATAATGAATATGCATTTCTAAGTGATTAAATAGGATATCACTTTAATAAATAAAATTTCTTTTTATCAGAGTAAAATTTAACATGGGATTTAATAGAAGAAGTATATAAATTATCTAATAATGGATTTATGGATGAAAAAAAAGCAAAATAATTGTTAGATTCATTTTACATAGTTAATTTCAGTGAGAAATCTTATTCTCTATTTACAAAACCAAATGTATTTGATAAGAATGCTTATAAATATTTAAATCATTTTGACTTTTCAGTATTCTTATCAAAAATTAATTTGAATATTGAAGTTCAATAAATTAATGAGATTGTAATACAAATAGTAAGAGCTTAAAATTTGCATTTGTTAAATTAAAACAAAGCTCCCAATCCAGTTATTTAAATGTTATTTGGTGATTAATCTTTTAGAACTCCAGTTTAAGTAAGAGAAAGCAATCCAAATTATAATTATTGTTTTAGTGTAGGATTAGAAGGTAATTGTAATTTGGAATTCAGAGTTCTTAATTCAGGAGCAGAAAGAGAAATTTTGGGATCATGTTTTATTAATAGTAGTGAATTAATTAAATTACATGAGAAATAATCAAGTGAAGAGATAAAGATGTATATTCATGGAAGCAAGGCTTAGGCATACTTAGTAGTAAAAGTGGGAACAAGTCCAAAAACTTTGTAAACATTGGAAGAAGTTTAATAATATTAAATAGAAGACGTGGATTTGGAGAGAATAAGAGCAATTATTGGAAAAATATGATATTAAAATTTTTAAATTAATTTTAAAATGGTCAAGAATGTTGCTTAAGAGAGTGTTAATTAAAAACTCTAATTGGTTGTAAGATCTGGAAAGATCACCATGGGTTACAAATAAACCTTGAAGTCCATTAGAAATGGAACTGCCAAGCTTGTATTCATTTCAAACAATTGTCCAACAATCAGAAAGACCTAAATTGAATACTATGCCATGTTGGCTTAGATTACCATTGTTTTATATTAAGGAAACAACGTTGATTTAGGTACGGGGGTTTAATTGGGAGGCTTAGCTCTTCCTAATTGAGTTTATGGGCATGAGTGATTTTATCTTATTTTAGGTACCGCCTGTGGTAAATTACACAGATGCTCAAGTTTAGCCATCATTGATGCAGGAGATTCTGATATCTTAACATAATAATGATACATTTTTTATTAGTACAATATTATCAATCATTAATTTCTTTTAATCAAATGATAATGTGATATTTTTATCATATTAAATAAGAAAATTACTATTTTAGATTTTATTTCCATATATATATAAGATTCTAATATAATCATAATATATTTATAAATTATGTTGTTAATGTATATTATAATTTGATAGTGAATAGAAAATGAGATGATATATGATGAGATTTTGTGTAAATTTTAAGAATATTTATTCATTTAATTTTATATGTTTTTCATTTATATAATCTAATTACTTTAAGTACTGGGATAAGATGATGATCCTATTCACACTTCTATCCTTTATGGAAGTTCAGATTTAGGATATTATTTTGTTAACATTTATGTTGGCAATCCTCCACAAAGACAATCTGTTATAATAGATACTGGAAGCTCAATAACAGCTTTTCCTTGCGATGCTTGTGATTCAAATTTATCATGCGGAAATCATTTAGATTAATACTATAATAGAAAGAATTCATCAACATATGAAGATTTAAATTGTAAAAGTTCATTTGGGGAATGCACCTGTCTTAGATGTTCGAATTAATAATGCATTTTTTCAATTTCATATTCTGAAGGATCCCATCTAGAAGGGTTTTATGTAAATGATCAAGTGATTTTTGGGGATTTATTGATGGAGGCTAAGGCATCTTCTAATGAATCAATCTCAAAAAAGGATAGTAGTGTGAGGAGTGTTTTTGGATGTACTACTAGAGAAACAAATTTATTCAAAACTTAATAGGCGAATGGTATAATGGGATTGTCTCCAAAGACAAACACTACTCTTGCATTTCCTAATATTGTAGATGATATTTATAAACAACATAGTGGAATGAAATTATTCTTTTCTATTTGCATAGGAAGAATTGATGGTTTTATGACAATAGGATAATATGATTATAATAGACATTAGTAAAATAGTGCTTATTATACAATTTAATACTTTCATACTGAAAATAAACCAGTTTATGGTATTAAGATTTCACAAATTAGAGTTCATAATAAAACCATATTAGCTGGTGCAGATTTATAAGCAGGGGGAGGTTCTTTTGTAGATTCTGGATCTACACTTGTTAATGCTCATCCTGATGTGACAAAAGCATTAGTTAATTTTTTTGTATGTGATTCTCCTAATTGTCCTACAATGTAATATTTTGAAGATATTGCATGCTATATTTATAATAAAACGCTTCATGGATCATATGAATAATTTATTTCATTTTTTCCTACTTACCAATTTATAATGGATAATAATTTTATATTTGATTGGACACCAAAAGATTATTTAACTAAAAGTATGGAATAACATGATGCTTATTGTTTACCTGTTGCAGAATATTCTGGAAATGTTAGAATGATTTTAGGTTAGGTATGGATGAGAAATTGGGATATAGGTTTTGACAAAGAAAATTAAACTCTAACTTTTGTAAGAAGTAATTGTTCCTCAGATAATCTTAAACATAATTTTACTGCTGATGATTGGTTTTTAAAAGAATTAAATTAATCAAATAATACATTGAAAATCAGACATCCTCCAAAAAATGTCGATTAAGAATTTTGTATATTAAAAATTTATATTTTATAGTATACGAAGCTGTTAAAATAATAGTTGTAATTGTTACATCTATAATCATAATTATATTTATAGTTTTTATTAGAAGAAGAAAATTAAATAAACAAATTAAAAAGGGATCTAAATTGCCAGAAGCTGAAGATGAAACTTAGAAAACAGTCCAACAAAAGGTTGTTGTTGTTTAATGAATTTATTTAGTAAAATTAAAAATTATATAAATTTATTTATCAAAATTATAATTCAATCATACCATTTAACTATTTATTTTAATATCTTAAATTATATAATTAATTTTGTTTATTAAAATATGTTCGTTAATAACTATTGCTTGCCAATGAATTGTATTATTGCTCCACTTAATGGTTGTGGAGGTATATACTTAGGAAATGTGGATGCAGCCTAAGATTCTTAATTACTCCAATAACATAAAATTGGAGCTGTATTGTAAATATTAGATTAATCTGTTCCTGTCTAAGGAGCCTAAAAATTAGTAAATATTTTATCAATAAATTTAGTGGATTATGGCTGAGGATTCAGAAGACTTTCCTCTACATAAATACTTTGATTAAAGTATAAGATTTATAGAGAATTAAAGTAAAAAAACTAATGTATTGATACATTGTTATGCTGGAATATCTAGATCTGCTGCAATTGTAGCTGCATATATGATGCAGAAATACAATTGGAGTGTTAATTAGACAATGCTTCATATCTAAAGCAAAAGAAGGATTGTGAGTCCAAATTCTGGATTCATGAAATAATTGAAAGATTTTGAAAGGAAATTATCAAATAAGGATTAATAATTATCATTGAATTCATTTAAATTGGATAGATCAAATTACAGACCAAGTTCAGCATTGTCTAATTATAATAAGATAAGTACTCCTGCTATGTCGAATAATGATAAAATAAGTATTCCAAACACTAAGTCATCATCAAGATTGGATGATTTTAGTAGTAAACTTGATCAATTTAGACATTTATTGAGAGTGAAATAAAAGGCTTATTGACTTTACTTAAATATAAACTCAATTATTAATATAAATATGTTTAAAGACTTAGGATATCAATTATTAATTAAATGGAAACTTTGGAAAGTATTGATAATAATATTTCCATTTACATTTATTTATGGAATATATCTGCTCTTTGTAGTATCTTCAAATTCAGATAGAAATTCATTTGATGGAAGTCAATTAATTCATGTAGAGGTCAATAAATAGTTAAGTTAAACATTAAGTCTGGCTGTTGAATAATATATGAAAGAATTTAGTAATACAAGTGATATTCATTAATTATTGATGTAAAAACTAAGTAATCTTGGTTTGGAGACATTTTATTAATAGAAGTATAATAATGTAATAGCAAAATTGAAAGCACCAAGAAGTCCAGATTATGAATGTAATTTGATATCATTTGAATATAATGATGAATCTCCTAATATAAAAATTAGAAGTATTGCATATGTGTTATCACTAATTAAGCTATTTTAATCAGATTGTATTAAAATATATTATTATTCTTAGAAATCAATTATTTATCAAGAGATTTAATATTTGTAGGTTATCATTCAAAATATAAAAGATATGGATAAGGAATCACAGCATTTTTAGAAGAATATGTAAATCCTTAAGAAGTATCTTTTATGCCTAGATCAGGTACTATTAGATCATCGATTAATATTAATCTTGATGATAAATTTGATTCTATTGCTTTGAAAGTATTTGGATTAAATGGTAAAGTGTCAGATAGAGATTATTACAATAGTATTAATACAATTATGGAGAGACAGAATTTTTATTATTAATTTACAGAAACTAATTATTATTGGATGTAATAATTTGAAAAGTACTTAGAAAAGGAAATAAGAACATATTGGAAATTATTACAATTAGATTCAATATATTAGATACCTTAAAAAAGATTGTTATATATGGATCCTTATTTTTCAAATTAAATTGAAATGTTTTAAGGAGATTTACATGAAGCTCATTCTTATATTATGAAATATGGAATCTATTCATTAACATTAAGAGGATATAATACTTAAAATAAAGATGATTCAAATATACTTACTAATAAGTTGTTATAAGTAGGAGAAGCAAGTATTAAAGCATTAATGGCAAATGATGAATTCATTCATTCTGGTTCAACTCTATATATACCATTAAATAAAAGTTCAACATTGACTATATAGAATTATTGTTTGCCTTATGTATTAGTAATTTTGAGTTGTGCCATATTTGCTATAAAATCTGTTTATAGTAGATGGCATTTCAATTTATTTAATGATGATAAAAATGAATTGGGTAGATGCAATTCAATGGTTGCACATAAATCAATAATTGAAATATTTATGGGATTTACTTTATGTTTTATACCTAATATTATAAGTTATATAGATAACTAATAATTTGATTATTTTAATTAATATTTTACAATAATGTTGGTCATAATAGTAATTTATTTGATGATTATATATACTACTAGGAGATGGATTTTTGGATAATATACATTACCTCGTAAAGAAAGTGTGGCAGAATGGTTATGGGTTGAATTAGTGATTCAAGTGTGTTTTGTTATGATGTATGCAGGAATAGTTTAAATACCAATAGCTACTTTTATTGCTATTTTCTTAGGTCCTTGGTTTTTCTTTATTTAACCATTAAGATTTAAACGTATTATATAATATGTTATTTTAGCTAATTTCAAATTTTTAGATATATTTTCATATGTAATAAATTTACTATTTTTATATGGATATTTTTAGATATTATTATATTTTGGATTTGATTCTATGTTCACATATTATAAAGAGGTGGTTGTTAATTATAATAAAGTTGGAATATATTTGTTTTATTATTTAAATGGGGGATTGATTCCATCTTTAATTAGATTTGCTGAATTGTTGTTATTTTGATTTAAGATGAATTTATATTGTTAATGAAACATAAACATTAACTGCATAATCATTATATTGTATTTAATTAAGTATTTAAAAAATCATACTATCCTATCATTCTATCACAAGCAGAACAAAAATGAGAGATTTTCATAAAGTAATTCTTCAAAACAAAAGGTATCCAACAAAGACAAATTAAGGTCAAGATTAATGCTGATATATAAGTGTATATAGTAGTTTCTACAATAACTAATGAACTACAATATGTATGACAATTCTCACATTATATTTATATTGGAGAAGTTGAATTAAATTCAATAGTATAATTAATTGTATTACTAATTGAAGATTCAATAATCTAATGATTTGATTGAGAGTCTGATTTAGCTTATTAAGATATATTATTGAAAGAGAAAGCACTCACATTTGGACTCTTCATTGATTATGCTTTGCATGAATGACTTGATTTAGTTGGCATACCTGTATATTATGATTCTGCCAATTGTAATGGTATAGTTAATTACATTAATAATTAAATTTATAAGTAATCATGGTGATTGTTATTATTTTAATCTGTTCTAACATTTATCTAATTAAGAATGTAAAGTTTGGTTAATAACTTTCATTCCCAAATAATCAGAATTCAAGATTGCTAATTTCTAAGATAATTTGTGAATTTCATTTGTATATTTCAATTCTTATTCTTATAATCTTTATTCCAATTAATTTACAGATTCTATTTTATTCTTAATCTCCTTTAATTCTTATTAATTATATAATAATTCTTAATTTTAATTAAATAAGATCTATTCTTTTATTGCTAATTCTTCTTAAATTGCTTTTAAACTTTTTTATGTCTCAACTAATTCTTTCTTTATTTCTGAAATCTTAATTAATAATTTCTAATTCTCCTCTTATATTAAAATTAATTCATCAATATTCTAGGGATTAAGATAAGTTTTTTAAACACTATTTTTTACTTTTTAATTATTCACTTTTTTTTTGAAACTTCTTTGAGAATCTTTTGGAGATGTCACAGTCTCAGCACTACTTACACTTGGATCCTTTGACTATAATTCATATTTCAATTACTCTATTTCTTCATTTAACTCATTTATTTTCTTATCATTCACTTTACTTTCAGATTATATAAAGTAATAATCATTTACTAATTAATCATACTATTTTCTCAATATATTCATATCTATTTATTGTTAATTATATTATTTCTGCAATACTTTTTAATTCTCCATTTATTTTTAATACTCTTAAACTACCTTATCCATCTATTCAATATATTCATCTTCTATTTGAATACTCTTATCCTCCATCATTATTTTAGTTTATGTCTCCATATTCATATTTTCTTTATTTGGTTATAGTAATGTCTTCAATCTCCTATTCTCTAAATCATACTCCCTAAGAATTAATTTATATTATTCAATTTCCCTATATATTTCATCTTAATTTAATAGAGCAATTTCATTATAGAATTTTGCTTCAGTCTAACTTTATTTCGATTCTTATTATTTAATCTTAGTTGTTGATTCAATCTATTTCACACCAAAGATTATTCCTAAATCAATTTCTGTTTATTATAATTAAGAAACTCTACTAAAATCAGTTTGAGTATTTTGAGATATTTAAATCACTTAACTTTTTCTCATTGGATCTTATTTCTCTAACTTTTAAAGCAATTCCTTTTTTTATTAATTACTCTATAAAAACATATTCTTAAAGCTCATTATCTATTTCTCATATTATTCAATCGATTTGTCTTTCTATTTTATTATCTCATTTAATAATTCCCATCTCTTATCTTCACATTATATCTATTTATCAATACAAACCTTTCCTTAATCCTTATTCTTCAAATTTATTAATTCATTTGTTAATCTCTCTACTTACTCACGTAACTACTAATCCTCATTACTATTTGGTTTACGATTCTACATTGAATAAGATTCTAGTAAGTTCCTCTTAACAGTCTCACCACCAGATTCAAATAGTTTAGAATGTCTTTGATGCATATAAAAATAATTAATAATTTTTAGAACTTTTTTGAACCTTTATCTTCTTTACAAATAAAAATAATAAAAACTTTCTCCCTTTAAATAATTACCAATTTACTATTAAATGATAAATACTTTTAGTAATTAACAATGATTCACATTTATATTCAAAAAGAATTAAATCTATTCATTTAATAGAACCCTATCTTTAATTGTACATATTAATAAATTCTAATATTTCCAATATTTTTTACTATTCAATTAAACATAATATTATACTCATAATGAGAAATTCAATTAAACACTGAAATTAAATATTAATAAATACCAATATTGTAAATAAATATAATAATACAAAATAATAAAATTATTGATTTTAATTTAATATTTTATATCTTCATATATATAGTATTAAAAATAACCATTATTTTTTTCAAATTTTGTTTTTTGAAGTTTAATACTCATATTAGATATTAATTGCTAATAAAATTAATTGTCTCTTTTTTTAAGTGGATGATAATATTTTATATTAATATCATTTTCTAAACTCCATAATTTCATATTTCAATTAAATAATTATTAAATATTTAAAAATAATTGTTTTCAATTTAATCAAGTAAATCAAATTAATTTTAGTTAGACATTTTTTTGACTCTTAAATATTATTAAATGATTCTATGGTTTAATTTTTTTATATTATTGAGCTTGCCTTACTCCTTTCTATAGGCAATTCATTTATATATTACATGATTTTCCCAATCATTCTATTTTAAAGTTCGAGATTAGATTTTAATTCATCCCTTTCAACTAATTAGGATTCTTATACTCAATATATGAATGTATATATATGAATTAAATATAATTGCCTTAGAATTATGAACACTTTTTAGACTTTAAAAAATTCATATTTAATTTAATATAAAATATAATTGATTAGATGAAAGTAAATATTTAGTTCTAGAATACTTATTAATATTTAAATGTATTCAAATAACAATTTCCTATTTCTATTTTTAAATAGTAATGAATGATATTATTTCAATTGAAATAATTATGATATATTTATCTTTGAGATGAATTTTTGTTAATGATATTGTTTTGATTTAATTTATATCATTTATATTAATTTCTATAATTTATTAATTAATACATGAAAAATACAATAGTAGAGTGTCTTGTAGAAATTAGCTAGCAAATATCTGTATTTATTATTATTATTCTAGAATGTTCATTAATCTGAATAGAGACTGTCTTTTAAAGTAATTATATCTATTTAAATTTCCAATAGCGATAATTACATAAATTTTTGGAAAAGCTTAAATCAGGTGATTCATTAAAACAATATTAAAGTATTCTAATTCGTTATTTACATAATGGTAATTATATATTATTATTATTAGCAATATCAAATCCTCTAAATCACAAATTGACTGTTTAATAGCAAATTATTACTATTTTAATATAGTTTTTTGAAATGGACCAACCTCAAGGTATTAAATATATATATTTTAGTTTGTGATTCATAAACTTTATGTGAGATAATCGTTGACTTTGTTAAATTTATCATAAAATCAGAATTTTAAGATGAATATTTAAAAAAATAATTTGCGAATTTTATCAAAATTACATTTTGGAAAAAAAAAATATTTAATATTCCTAATATAGAAATTAAGGATATAGAAATTGTGGATTAGCATTTCAATCTTAATTTAAAAACTTCAATTTTGTAAATATTTATACACTTAATTTAGTTCAAATAAAAGTTTATAATAATTATTAAAAAACTATCTATTATCTATAGAGGAGCTATCAGAATATCTTTTAACTTTTTAATATCCAGAAGTTGTTTTAATGGTTTTAGATCTTAGTGCATTAAAATTTGATATTCCTAAATTTATAAAAAATGGAACTCTAGATTTTGATTGCAAAAGCAAATTATAAATACTACCTCAAGAACAATAAATTTAATTATTCTTAAATCTCAAAGAATTAGATAATGAAAAGTTAGATATTGTTACTTAATTAATATTTTAGAATCATTCTTTAGATATTGCTTCATAAATACCTAAATTAATAACAGTGATTGTAAATTCTTAATAGATTGATTATGATAGAGCATTAATTATTTTAAAAAGGATATCTAATAATTAGAAATTTAATTTGAATTATGAATATTTGAGAGCAATGTTATTATAAAGTAAAGATAAATAATTAAATAATTTCATTATTGATGCAATAGTAATCTTTGAATAAAATCCAGAAAATATAGTAAAACAAGAAATTTAAAAACACTCAAATCCTTTATCCATTATATATTTATTAATTTAATTGATTAAATAAGAATAATTTGAATAATTATTTGAGAAATTATTGAATAAATCTATATCACCATATTAATATGTCATTTTACATGTTATATTAATTATTTAGGAGAAATCTATTATTTTAGATCCTTTATAAGAATAATGTTTAAGATTTTAACTTAATGAAATCTGTTTAGTTTAAATGTTTAGTTTATATTCATTCTAAAATTTGAACATTAAAAGAAAAATGAAATTGTTATCATAATTTCAATAGTTGATTGAAACTGAATAGAATATATCATTTTATGATATTTTAGTAATAATAGGATAGGAAACAACATAATCTCCTTAAATTAATTAAAGAATAGGATAAATTCTAAATAGAGAATGGAATAATATAAGTAATTTTTTGAAATAAATTGCTTATAATAAATAATCTTAAATAATTTAAGGATTCTATTATGTTGTAATGTATTTTACAGATTAAAATGAATCAGAATTTTTAAGACTTTTTGATATCATACACAAATCTATGTGTACTAGAAATAAAGCTGTAAATTATAATATGTTATTAAATTCAATTTAATAATATGAATAAGGTAAACCTGAGACTGAGATACAACTTTATGTGATGTTATTAAAAATAAATTATTTATTATAGGATAATTTCATAAATAGAAAAAAAAATGGTGAAGAAATTTCAGAAAGATCAAGTGAAATGGGAGATTTGAATGAGGGATAAGAATAAGAATATTATAAATAGATATAAGAACATGGCAAAAATTTAATTGAATAATTAGATAAATAAATAAAACGTTATGAAACAATATATTTAGGAATGCAAAAGAACTTATATTTAGCAGTTTAAATAAGTAGATTATTATAATTAAGTGATATTAAGATAAATATTTAACATTCTCTATTAGTTAATGAAAGAGTATAAAATATGCTTTTTGAATAAAATCTAATAGAGAGTGATATAATTTGGGATTCTTTGAAGAAATTACAGAAAGTTTAATTAGCAACAGCTATAATACAAATATTTAAAAATGAAAAAAATAATGTAAAATTAATAAAAATGGTTGTGGTAGAATTAAGTAAGTTATGTAAATATAAATATTATGCATTGTTATGGAAATAATATGATATTTTGAGTATCTAATAAAATGTTTAATAATAAATAAGTAATATAACTAAACTATAAATGGCAGTTCATAAATTTTAATTAATATTACAAATATAAGATAATTATGAATTCTTAAAATTAGGATATTAATAAGTTCAAAAAAGTTAATTTGAATTATTAGCTTTATTGATAGCAATTAGTTTACATTGTGGAATTAGTAATAATTTTATAGATGGAATGGGTGAATAAAATGAAATGTGTATAAATAAATTGATAGTAGAATTTAGTTGTGCTGGATTATTATAATTAGTATTAACATTAGTGAAACCTATAAAATAATAGAAGAAGAAAAAGTAATCAATGGAAATAGAAAAGAAATTAGAAGATTGTTTAAATAATTAATTATAAGATGCAATTAATTTAGTATTGATAGGAATTTAAAAGAATTTAAATAAAAATTAGGATTTAAAATAGGAATTCATTAATTTAGCTACTAATGTATATTAATTTGGTTAATCTGCAGAATATAGTTTAATATTTGATTTATTTGATAAGATTCCATATCAATTAATAATAAATTGTTTAAAATCAATTTAAAATTAGGATAAGTTTTTTGATTAAAAATTGCAACATATATTAGTACTTATTAGTAAATTTGATAAAATATAACTAACAAATGAATTTTTTGAATTATCATATGATATTATAATTAATAGTCAATAAATAACTTAAACTATGATAGAATATTGTCTTTAATTAATAAGTATAATAAAAATGAATGAAAATGGATAATTATAAATATAGACAAATATTGATGTTTAATAATTAAAAGAAGTATTAATACCTGAGAATTTTGTTCCTACTGGTTGTACTATATAAAATACTTAATAATAAATTTACACTTGTATTTAATGTTCTAATAATAATAAAAAGAATATATAATGTTGTGCTAGTTGTGCTTTTAGTTGTCATTAAAATCATTAAATTCAATATGAAAATATGATTGAATCTATGTGTGAATGTAATTAAACTAAAAAATGCAATTAATAAAGATAAAAACAATAGATATAACCTTAATTAAATAGAAGACCATTGTTTCCACCTTCAACAACAACTACATCTGGAGTTTTGGTAGAATATTTAAGAAGAGAAAGGGAGATTAGAGAATATAGAGATTTTAAAGATTTAGAATTGCATCCTCATATAAGAGAATATGCAGGTAGAATAAAAGATAACTTTTAAGATTTTGATTCAGAAGTAGAATTAGAAGATTCTTTATCTAGTTCATAAATATAATATCATGAAGAATCAAATAATGATGTTGTTGAAAAATATGAATCAAGTAGTAATTCAATAATAGAAATTGAACCAAATTAGTTTGAACCTAAAGAAGTAAAAAATTAAATGAGACCATAATAAGATTCAAAGTTTTTTTCAAAACTTAAAATTAATTTTGAACTTTTATTTGATAAATTGATTTAAATGTGCAATTTTACAATTCAAAATTATAAGAGTTTAGAATCTAATTAATAAACTGATGTTGAAGAATAAGAATATGAATTATAATCTAAAATTCTTCATAATATTTA